AGATCACCTACGTGTCCTGAGCATCCCGGAGGCAGCTGCCCTCGAGTGCCTTGTGCTGCTCCTGTTGCGGCTGCGAGGTGTGAGCCAGCAAATCGAATACCCAGCCCTCCTTAGTTTGGTTTTAGGTCTGTGCTGTGAAGATATTTCTGCTCTCCCCACCTCGCTGCTGGGTTGATGGAGGCTGGGTCATGAAGGGAGCATCCTCTCTGCTGCCTGCTGGTGCCTTGCACCGCTGTTTGGAGGTGAGCTTTATTAAGACAAAGTGGTGATGCTGAGGTGAGCTGCACCACTGCCTGTGCCACCCAAAGCTGCTCGCCCGCAGCGTGCGGTGGGGGGCACCAGCTTGTGCTTAACAACAGCAAATACCACTGATGGGATCCTGTTTTTCACAGTCAATAGAAACCGTCCCTTGTGTTGGTGAAGCGTGGTGCGTTGGGGTGGGTGGCAGGCTGGCTTGGGCCACCACACAGGATGTTGTCTTGCTGTGACACTGGGAGCCTTGCAGGATGGGGTGCAGCACCTTAGCCCGCTTTGAGATGCTGTTGGAGGTGGCTCAGGCGTGTCCAGCAGTGGGGATCATGGAATGGTTGGGGTTGGAAAGGACTTTAAGATCATCCAGTTCCGATCCCCCTGCATGGGCAGGGACACCTCACACTAAACCATATCACACAAGTCTCTGTCCAGCCTGGCCTTGAGCACTGCCAAGGCTGGAGCTTTCACCACTTCTCTGGGCAACCCATTCCAGTGCCTCACCACCCTTACAGTAAAGAACTTCTTCCTTAAATCCAGTCTAAACTTCCCCTGTTTACGTTTAAACCCGTTACCCTTTGTCCTATCGCTACGCTCCCTGGATGAGAAGGAAGAATCCTGCCGTGCAAACAGCGCATCCAAAAAGCTCCCCAGACCTTCCCTTCTTGCCTGCTGCCTTTCATTACCAGGGCTACCCTGGTGCTGGGGGCAGTGACACACCGCCTGGTGATGACTTCAGCCCATCATCTCTGCGCTGCCTGCTGCGGCTTTTCCGTTCAGCCCCCGAAACCCTCTGCACCTCCGTGGTGCCTCACAGCTCCTCTCGGGTCGAGCGTGCCGCAGGGCGGGGGGCAGGAAGCTGCTCGCCGCACCCTGCTCTGAGCAAACCCTCACAGAGACCTAAATCCTGCAGTAAATAAACAGCAGCTCCGGCCCGCGGCTCCTCCCGGGGCTGTGGGATGAGCCGAGGGGTGCTCCGGCACAGACAGCCTTGGGAAAGCACATCTGGGTCACGCCGAGATGCTGTTGGAGCACTCAGAATGCTCCAGGGACCGGGGAGCTGCTCAGTGCAGCTGCACCAGTGCCGCTTCCCTGCCACTCTTAAACACAATTAATACAGGGGAATAACCCGCTCTCTTCCTAAGGATTAGGTTAAGGAAACAAGATGGTTTTAATAGCCCTTTTACATCCTAAATAGATCTTAGCTGAAAAAACTAACTGGTTTTGCAGTGCAGCCAAACAGCACATATTTCCTTTTTATTTTGTCCCTGTTTCCCCCCCCCCCCCATAACCTGGTGCCAGAGGTCCTGCGTGAGCAAATCTGCTACTGGTAATTCAAGTGCCCAGCTCCTGGCTGTGCTGTTTTGTCCGCTTTCCATTGCCTCCTGACCTCCATCCTTCTTTATTTGCAAAGCTATACGTGCAGGCAGCGGTAATAAATCAATTAATGACTCTGATGAATCGTTTAATGGCTGACAAAATAACACTACAGTCAACAGCTTGGATCTCTACAGCAGTACCAGAAGATGCTGGTTGACTCAGGGTAGGGAGACGAAACAGAGACTGTTAGCTCAATTAGTGCAATTAGTGCGCGATTTAAAGGCTTAGACGGCATCTGCTGGCGTACCGAGCCGGTGTGTTAACTGAGAGCTTTGGTTTGGAAGTGAAACGCGGGGATCCAGATTGTCACCGCTCCGCTGGCTTCCACCAAAACAGGGGGGAAAAGCCAACGTATGTAGGGAACAATAAATACATATACATGTATGTGTGTGCATATAGCTGTAGGTGCGTGCTCCAGGAACACATAGATATTTATTCTCAGCGTGGAGCAAATCTGCCATCTAATAGAAGGCAAGCGAGCCGGCATGCTGGCTGGGCCAGAGCTATCCTTGCTCATCTCTGGCAGTGGTCTCCAGCGTGCTTTGGTGGAAGGAAATGCGGGAAATTTGGAAGGAAATCCAGTTTATGTGCCAATGGGGACCTCGGTGTGGCTGGGTGTGCTTGCTGGATGCACCAGCATGGACACGGAGCACACTTGGGCTTCATGCTCCTACACTGTGCCTGTGCTCCCCATCTCCTGCCGGCTTCCATGGCATCTCCACCTGTGCTTGTGCAGGGGAGGTTGGGGGTGTTTGGGTCGGGGCTTGGCAGTCAAATTCCAGCTGAAATCTCCAAAGTCCCTAAGAAGAGTTTCTGAGCCAGAAAGGTCGAAATAAGCCAGGTGATGGCAGATGGGAAGGCAAAAAAGTCCTGGTTTTTGGAAATGAGAGCTGGAAAGCCCCTGGGGTTAGAGCGCTTACCCTTGGGGATGGGGAAATGTATTCCCACTGCCTTTTTTTCCCCTTTTCCTTTCTTTTCTGGCGCATCCCAAGGGATTTGCGGCTTCGGCAGGGCTAAAGGTGCCTCGGGTGTTTACCTTAGCAGCGGGGCTGGGGAGGGGAATGAAAGAGAAGTAAAATGTCACTTCTCAGCCTCGTAAATCATTCATCAAGGGCTGACCAATCTGGCTCCCATCCTGCAGCGTGCTCGGGGCGCTTGTGGGCTTTTAATCCCCGAGTTCTGCCAAGCGCCACATGTGCGAGGAACTTCGGATCCCCATTGGCACCATGAAGGCATAGGTGAGGTTTTGGGGTGTTCAACACGGAAAAGCACTCCAGTTTTGTGGGAGAACGGGCATTGCCTTCAAGGCGTTCTTTGCCCTCCTTCCCTCCGCTCCGTGAGGCGGAGGGCAGCGTGTTTTCCCCTTGGCTCCCCCAAATCCACGTCTGTCTTCGCTCCTCCCCACTTGGGGATCCATTTTGCCTTGGGAGATTCCCCCAGCAAAGGATTATGGTGTGCTGGAAATCTCTTGAAACCATAAAATATCACCTTGGCAGCTTTATTGCAGCGCTTGCCGCCTTGGGAGAGAAGCGTTTTGCGTGATAGAGGGTTTAATAAAGGAAATTCCAAATGGGCTCACAGCAGTTTGGGGCTCGGTCTTATATATTTTTGCATTAAGAACCGTCATCTGCTTTGCAGAGAAACTGCAATATGTTCATGGCCTTGGATTAAGATTTGGTTTTACTTTTATAGCTGACCCACTTGGGGGGATGGAGGGAGGAGGAGAACTGGGTTCACTCCCTCTCCCGTCTATTTTTGCTGCCGTCTGATGTATAAAAAGAGCCTGGAATGGGCAGGCTTATTTTTCCTGCCAGGACTTTTCTTTATTAACTGTAAAAACACTCAGATCTGGCCTTTGCTGTGGATGTGGGGAAGGCTGCTTGGGATGCCTGCTTCAGGAACATGGGGGGAGTGTGGTGTGGGCTGTGCTGGGGGGCGCTCAGGACCCTGTAGGTGCAGGGGGACCCCAGTTATTTCACAGAGAGGGTCTCTTTTTGGGGAGCCAGCCTGTGCTGTCATCTCTGGCACTTGCAGCTCTGACGTGGTGGGGTGGGAGAAGGGACAGCTCATCCGGCGTGGTCCTGGCCTTCATCCCACATCCTGCATGCCGGCTGCTGCTGGAGAGCATGATGGAGGGGGGACAAGGGGTGGCCCCTGGGAACATGCAAGGCCTGATGCTTGTCCTCCGCAAGGCTTTCTGTTCTGGAATAGTGAGATTGCCAACCAAACGTGGGGTCCCACCTTGGCAAGCCTTAGTCCTTAATAACAATCCTTAATTATCCGGGCTGCCCAAGTCTTGTGGTTGTCACCGCATCGGATGTGGTGAGGGGCTGGGGCTGGCTCAGCTGCTGTCAGGACGCAGGGTTTGGTGGGGATAGGATGGTCCAAGCTTTGGGGTAGGACCAAGCGTGAGCAGGCTCATGTGAACCCCGTCTGTTGATGGGATTTCCTCAGTGGAAAATTCTCCCAATTTCTTTTATGGTGGATGCTTTCCCTCGGCCCTGCCATGTGGTTTTAGGTGTATAAGTCCATCGTAAAAGTCATGGAGGGTGTAGCTCAGTGATCCAAACCCAGCTAATAGCACCGAGCCTCCCTTGTAACTGCCCTGGGTAATGGTGATGGTTAAACCAGAGCACTTCAGCGGCACAGGTACTGCTCTGAACTCCAACAGGGATGTGTTGCAAGCAGAGGTCTTTAAGGAAGGATCTTTTTCTTACGTTCTCCTTCTGAGTAGGAGCTTCTCATCATTCCGGTGCTTTCCCAGTGCCTCCAGCTCCACAGCACAGCAAGGAAGTGCAAACAAATAGAGATGCTGAGCAGGGTGTCCTGGTACCTCGTGTCCTACCCCATCCCTCCTTTTCAGAGCTGGAGCCTCTCAGGTCGCTCATGCTGGGGAGGCAGGAGGGGAGTGTGACCCCACAGATGTGGTGCAGTGAATTTGGAAATCCATAATAAAACCTCGGCGTGCTGGTGAGGTCAGGGAAGCATCTTTTTCAGAGGACAGAACCAGCAAGCCTGTGCGGGTAAGAGAAGTACTCGAAAAGCTTGCAAACAGCTTGACATGGAGGATGAAGCTCCTTGGTGGATTAATGAAGCTAGATGCCTGGGTAAAGGAATAAATAAACCCTGGAATTATCGCCAGGTTTTGTGCAGCCATCTCCTCCGTGGGTGAATCGCAGAGGCCGGTGCCCCTCTGCTTGCTTCCTCATGGAGGAAAGATGCTCAGGGCATGGGCAGCGATGCTTGGGGCTCTGGAGGTAGGAAGCAAAGTGACTCATCGTGATGTGGCAGTAGAGACAGGCTTTTAGATGCGTTCTTCCCCTTAACTCCTAACTCATCCCACTGTGTTTGTCCTGGTTTTGTTCCTGCAGAGCGCAGCAGCCGCCCCGAGTCCCGTGCTTGGAAACATTCCCCCGAACGACGGGATGCCCGGGGGCCCCATCCCGCCCGGCTTCTTCCAGGTAGGCTCCCGCTCCTCCCGATGCTCCCCTCCACACCACGCACGTGTTTGCTTACGCTCTGGGTGTCAGCGCTGTTGTGCCTGTGTTTTTACCCCAAGGGGATGCTAGGGAAGCAGCATGCTGACCTGTGTGGGAATAACTCGTGTTCCGCTGCCCTTCCACGTTTGCTTTCTACTCTTTGTGGCCTTAAAGCAAATCTCTTCCGCGCTCGAAGAGGTTACTGTGTATTTACAACCAGTGTTTTTTTTCCAGAGCTGCTTGGTTTGTGTTTGGGTTGGGGTTGTGTTTGTTCTCCGGTCCTAACAGACGTGCATAATTGAAAACATTCTGGATTTTGATCCCTGAAACTTCTTCCCCCTCCTCTGGTTAACCGCTTGATTCTTTCCAAATGCAATCACTGGAAGCATTAACAAACCCTGGCTGTGGCTGCAGGCTCCAGCCAAATTCCCGCATGCCGTGGAGGCACCTTGTAAGCAAATACCTAGCAAAGTCCCCCAAATCCCCTCACTCCTTCCTTCTCCTGCGCCCAGCTCTGACCGAGGAGGGGGTAACATATGTTTGGAGTGATGCTGATGGAAAGGATCTCAATAAGGCCATAGGAAAGGAGTTTCCACATGTGAACTGTGGAGTTTTTTGTGGGTTGCTCTGCAATCTCATTGCAGTGGCTTCAGTTCTTGGTGCATTAAAATCATCCTTCTTGAGGAAGAAACTCTTGTCCGTGTAACGAATGGGACGAGGGTTGGAAGGAGTATTTGTTTTGGCAAGGTGATGGGGTTGGTTTTTATCTGGGCTTGTGATTTGTGCATGGGAGAACTGCTCCGGCAGTAGGCAGGCGGGCTCGATAAAGCGCTTGTGATTTATTGTGGCGATATCTGAGCCCAATACGGCCGCTTGCGTGTGTATGGGAAGGGGGAAGGAGGGCCTGGGGTTTCTTTTAGTGAGATCCCATTTCCTGAGCATGCTTCTGACAAAGTAAGAATATCCGATATCGATCGGGAGCCCTAAAACAGGCGAAGCTTGTAGCAGCGCGGGGTGAAGCCAGCAGCAGAGATGCTATCTCGCAGGTCACAGCCGCTGCCAGCAGTTCGAGTGCCAAGCTGCTGCTTCCAACAAATGTGTCTCCAGGAGCCCTGATCTCACCCCGTGGTGGAGCTGACTGTCCTCTGGGGCTCCTGCTTCACACAGAGCTGCGAGGGCTGCAGGACTGGCACCAAGTTAGGGCAAGGCTTCCAAGAGTAGGGGTTGGCTTTCCCCCGAAGGGGAAGGTGAGGAAGAGGAGTCGCATCTCCCCAGGCGTGCTGTGCATGCTCTTGTCTCGACTCTTCACTTTGACAGCCTCCAAGCTGTCCCCTGTGCTTTGCTGTCTGCCCTCACATAGTGGAGTTGCACTGAGGGTCCTATTCAGGAGCAAACAGATGATTCTAGCTCCCTGCATCTTGTGGAGCTGGACCAGGAGCCTCTGGGGAAGGGAGGTTCAGAAGCAGCCCTGCTTTCTTAAGGGGTTGGAAGTAGATCTTAAGGTCCTTCTCCAACCCTAAGTGTTCTATGGTTCTGTGACCTGAAAACCCAGTGGCACCAGTGCAGGTGCCTTGTGTGGGGATGCTGCCCATCCTTGGAGCTGCGGGAGGGAAGAGAGAATGGGTGCTGATACATATGGCTTGCATGTGACATCTCAAGAGCCTGCCTTTCCTGAAAGCCCTCCAACATCTGGTTTCTCCTCCCAGCTCTGGAGATGGAGGGGAGAAGAAAAATCCCACCTCTTAACACAGTCTGAACATGGCCTCCATGAAAGCCTGCCTGATTTGTTGCAGGTGCTGGAGCTCCTTCCAGCTTCAGGAGATGCTGGACACCAGCTCTTGCAGAGGTGGGCTGGAGGCTCAGCAGGGAGCTGGTCACAGCATGGGGGTGATTTCCTGTCTCTGTAGGAAGCTAAAGTGCTGAACATAAGAGGGCAAAACCAAAAAGGTCACAGGGGATGCAGAGGATTTCTGCCCAGCCCTTGGTGTGCCAGCACTGGGAGGGAGTGAGGTTCCTGGTGGTACCACCTCAGCTGGTGCTAGGAGACCGGAGGATAGAGAAGGCTCAGGGGGTTTCAGCTTCTTGTTCTTCCACACCGTACTGCAAGCACCAGAGACTTGCAAGGGATATCTCTGGGGGGGCAAGCATGGGCAGACTGGTTTTGGGAGGGTTTAGAGGGCCTGTCACTGTACTGGCATGGTGGGACTTCATATGGGAGCTGAGGAGGAGAGTCATGAGCGAAGCTGAGATTGCAGGAGCCCGGCGCTGCCAGCCTGGGGGTGCATGAAACCCCCCAGTACCACACAACGCTGCTGTTTAGCAAAGGGAAAATTGATATGGACCATTACTGGGAGCTGGTGGCCTAAAAGCCCATGGGAGTGAGCTTGGGGAAGTAACACATCGGGAAAGGGCAAGGAGAGGAGGAGTCCAGGCTGCAGTGCCCATCTGCAGCCGTTGTCTTGCAGGGAGAGAGTGCCTTTGCTATGCTGGGGCTCAGCAGCGACCTTCAGGCTGGGGGCCAAGGGAAATGCAGCCAGCAGTGTCCCAAAGCCTCCCCAGAATGGTAGGAACAGAGAAGCCGTGGGCACCCGGGGGTTGCGGGGGCATTGCGTGGTGCCAGGCAGCAGCACGGCATCGGGCTGTGCTCCGGACAAAAGGCGGCTGGCTTGATGTCCGGTGTGGGTAGATGCTTGCATTGAAATCTCTCTCTTTGTCCCATCGAGATGAGCAAACAAACCCTCTGCTCATCCTCTGAAAGGTCATCGGAGGCGTTCCTGCTTTTGTTGTGAAAGCTGGATGGATGCCGGGGTGCAGCTCCCTCAAAAGGAGGGTGCCAGGGAAATGTAGGGAGGAAAATTGGAAACAGAAAACAATTTATACTGCACCTCCTTAGCACTAAATACATGGCAGGGGGGCAGCCAGCAGCCCCCAGCCCTGGCTGTGCCTCCTCTCCCCAGTGCAAACTCCCTGTGCTGCCCTGTACCCCGCACGCTGATGAAATGGAAAGTTGACCATAAATCAATGTCGGCGCTGCGTTAGCTATGCATCAGCAGCTCGGAGAGATGCACCAAAACAAAGCACCGCCTGCTCCGTGTTCCCACACTGCCCCCTAATGCAGAGAGACCTCGGGAGCCAGGGAGGATGGGGGGCTCTGGAGCCCCCCAACGTCCCCTGCCCTTTCCGCCTCTCCTCCCTGCATCCCGCAACACATCCCTTTGGGTAAGGTCGCCCATAGGGGTGAGGATGGTAAAGCCAGGAGCGATAGGAAGGGTCCATGTTGTCCTGTTCCATCTTTGGATGCCACCATTTTCCCCCTGCTCAGCTGTCCTGATGTCTCGGTGGGATTCCCCATCCCACATTTGGGATACGTCAAACGTAGGTGACCACCGAGTGGGATCAACCAGTTTTCAGTTGAGCCACAAGACGGGGCTGCCCTTCCCAAAATCGCAGGGCAGAACCCAGTATCAGCCATGCAGCAGGCAGGGTTTGCAGGAAGGTGGCTGAGGAGCTGGAGGAAAGGAAAAGCAAGCATTGGAGAAAGTTCTTTTTTTCTGGAAGTTTAGGAGGATGCCCGAGGCTTTTGTACCGAGCGTCTGGAGCATATGGTGGGATTTGCAGTCAACTTTCTCTCGGGTGCTCCAGCCAGATGGAGGTGACTGTTCTTGGCTCCGGCTGACACGGGTTTGTTTCCTGAAGAGCTTGTGTTAAACATATTCCTTAAAACCAGGCTTCTGCAGTTGGGAGCCCCAGCTGCAGGCGAGGCAGAGCTCCTGCCCACGGTTGCCTTTCGCTGTCTGCGGGGGAGCTTGGCCTGCCTTGCCTTGCTTGCCTTGCCTTGCCTTGCCCTGCTTGCCTTGCCTTGCTTTGTCCTGCCTTGCCTTGCCTTGCCTTGCCTTGCCTTGCCCTGCCTTGCCCTCTCTGGGGAAGGTGCAGCTGTGTCCCAGCTCTGGAAGGCGACCATGGTCTTCCTCTTTGAAGACACCACGAGCATCTCTCCTAGAGGCTCCTTCAGAGATACCTTATGTTTTTGTTGACAACTTGCAAAACCTCCCTCTCCTTCGGTAGAATTAAAGCTCCCATCTGGCAAACCCAGACACATCTGTAATTAATACCCATCTAATTTCATTTAGTCTTACCTAATGTCAAAGCCGGAAGGCAGGGGCAGGTATTTTAAAGCCCAAGATGCCTTCCTGTTGCTAACTGTAAACTGTCGGTATCTCGTGGCAGCAATGCTTTGCCTTCTCGTACCATCCTGCGTTGTTCTGCCACCCCCAGAGGTGCTTGGAAATGTTCTTACATAGAAAAACTTGCCCATTAGCTGAAAGTCTGTAGCCCATAAAACATGATCCATTTGTGGTGAGTTACGCTGGAAACATAAATTGACACATGCAGAGCTATGATCGCTCGTGCCATTTTCCATCTTTAATATTTTACAAGAAGTTTGAGGAGTTGAGCTCGTGAAAGACAGGCTGGAAATAACCCGATCGCCTGGGAAGTCCCTGTAGAAAGCAGCAGCAGCAGCAAACTTTGGTCATCCGATGGGCCAGGTTGGGCTTTTAACGTGCCTATAGTGTAGAGGGGAGAAAAACGTGAAGCAGAGAAGAGATTGGAGCACCGATAGCCATCAGAAACAGTTCCTTCTAACACTGTTTTAGCTGTTTGGGTTGGTTACTGGGGGTATTTTTGAGGCAGCAACAGGAAGGTGAAGAACAACCCCTCTGCAAGCATGCAGTTTGGGGGTGGAAAGAAAACAGAACTTGATGGGGTTTCTCCTGTTGGGGAGAGCGCTGGTCTTGATGAGAGTGAATTAGCTGTCCGATGGGGCTCCGAGGGGATGTGACACTGGAGCATTTGGGATGTGGAAGAAGCAGGACTGCGTTCGTTCAGCCTCCTCTCCTAACAGCACTAGTTAATCACTGCTAAATACACGTTTTTCAAGGGAAAAGGGTGGTTCTGTTGGTTGGAGCCCACATGTCGTCTCTGTAAAACACTTGTTTCAACCACCGCGATCCATCAGGATCATCTCCCGCCTCCTCTGCAGCGAGGGAAACCCATGCGAATAAGCAATCGATCCAGCAGGCGTTCCCAGCCCAGCGCAGGTCCCGGCCCTGAAACATCTGCAAATATTTATGGAGATAACAATATCCAGAAGGTCTGTGTTCCTGATGGAGCAGAGCAGCCGAGCCGGGAGGGGGCCGCGGTGGCTGCAGCCCGGAGCGAGCGTTTCGGATGCTGCTGCTCGTTGCTGGGTTGGAAAAAGCAAGAAAAGAATTAAAAGGAAGAAGAAAAAAAGCCCCTTTTGGCTCCTCCCTGCCTGCCAAGATGTTTGCACAAGCTGGGTGTCTGCAGTCACGGTATCCAGAAGTCACTGCCGCGAGTGGTACCGCATGGGATAATGCAGTGGCGAGGATGCTGCGGTGCTGAGGCTGGAGCGTCCCAGGGAGCAGCCTTGGGGCAGTGGGGCAGGACCACACTGTGGAGGATGCATTCAGCAGCACAAACAACTGATGCTCTCTGGATCCAGCTGCCATGGGGGATTTTTCTCTGGTGAAAACGTTGCTGTCTCGTATAGATGATTCTTCTACAATAACCAAACACTGCTTGCTCTGAAGCTCCCGAGGCAGACCTAAAGCATCACCTCCAGGCCCAGCTGGGGTGCGTGTAGGTGGCTATGTCCCCCATGCAATCAATACCCGTTATCCCTACACCCTCACATGCTGGGGGGGGTACAACAGGGAGGACGTCAGGAGTTTAATGAGGGGTTTAATAGCTCCAGGATGGGCTCTGTGTGCCTATTCAGGCAGTACCTGGATAACAGTGACCTCCTCCTTGCAGCACAGCAAGCCAGGCATTGTGGAGGACCTGTTGACTCTTGCATTGATGGGATTGATTGGCCTCTGCAAGTCCTGTTTTCTCCCTTGCACTTGGTTTCATCGCACATTCCCATCTGCCAATATTCCCTACCCCAAATCCTGCGGCCGTAACATGTAGAAGGGCTTTTGTGATGGCCAGACCTCGCTGGGGAGTGCTGTCCTCTGTGAACTGATGATGTGAAGTGGCTGCTGCCCCGGTTCAGTTTGCATTCACACAGAGTTAGCCACCTCAGAAGCAGAAATAAGTCGAGTTTCATGCATGGAAAGGACTTCTGCTAAAGGAGCTTGATGCTACAATTGGACCACAGAGGTTTGTCTTCGCTCTGGTGGGATGTGGATAGAGAAGGTGGTTGTGTTGGCATTGGAAGGATTGACCAGAGGCGCTGTGACCTCTTCCAGCCAAGGCTCCCTGGCCAGTAGGGCCAGTAACTGGCTGCCTTCAGCTCCTGGAGAGCAAATGGTGGGACCTCATTCCCCCAAGCGCAGCGGCTGGAGCGGGGAGGCTGGCAGGAGGCTGTTGGTTTCAATGCGCTTGGCTCCATCTCGCCACCAAACAGTTCAAATAAAGAAGAGAGGAGGGAAAAAAAAAAAAGAGGAAAAAACCCACCCTCTTACTTTATTTACATTGCACTCAAGTTTCCGCTGTACAAAAGATTTGCAGGTGCAAATATGTCCTGCCTTCATTAACTTCCCCTCCCTTTTTAATTTATGTGATTTCAATTTTCCTTCCCTGTACTGTTAATTAGGGGACCCTCTAATCAGTACCATTATCACAGTGGTATTCATGTTTAGGAAAGCTGCTAAACAAATGCTTGCAAAATTGCTAAATGGCTAATTAATGTCTGTTAATTAAGAAAATTGCTCATGGTAACAAACCATGCCATTGCTGGCAGCAGCTAGAAGGCGAACACTTGTTGAAATTAGTAACGAGGCAGGTAGAGAACATCTGCTCCGGCGCCGGTCCTGGAGCCTGCCGTCGCTTCCCATCACCTACTGACAAAGCTCGTTTGCTTTCACTACCAATTACACCTCCTTTGACTCAAAAACCAGTCTTCCCCCCCACCTTTATGTTAACACGCACCGGTATATTCCTGCGCTGAGCTCGTGGCTTTTCCAAGCATTCCGTGCTTTTAAGGGGAATTTAAAGTAAAAAGCAAAAAAGTGGGTGTTCAAGCCCAAAATGTCAGCGGCTGCTGCATTGCAGCCTTAAACCTGCACCGACTAATCTCTCCTTTCCCCCCCCCTCCACCCCCAGACATCCTTTCTTTGCTCGCAAGCCATTTTACTCCAATCCTTAGGGAATCCACCTCGAGGAAGGATGTTGCATCCCTACAGCCTGGCGATGCAGCCCCGGTTGTGCCGGCTTAAACGCTGCCCAGGCGCCAGCTGGGGCTTGCTCCTCATCCTCTCCAGCACCTCCACGCTGTCAAACCGCCCCCCAAATGGAGGTGTTTCCAACCTTTGGGATGGGAGAGGAAAACGATGCTTTTTTCTTTTTTAGGTTTTGGGGTGTTTTTTGTATTTCCCCAACCTCTTTGGTCCTCTCCTGTATATTTTTTTTCTTCCTGGTTGCACGCCCTTGCGAAGTGTTTCCCTGTTGTGTTTCTCCTTGCAGACTTGGTTGAACTCCTGGGACTATTTACGATGTGGCTGCTGTATTTTGACAGATGTTCTGATTTTGGATATATATTTTTAACTTTTTTTTTTTTCCATATCTCATTATTCATTGTTCAGCTGCAAATGAATAGAAACTCACTTGAAAAAAAAGAGGAAAAATGGGAGGACGGACTCCCTGACAAAACAGGTCCACCCGTCAATCCTTTTTTTAGCTCTTTTCTGCGCTTTCATGTGCTAATCTATAACCTCCTTCTACTGTCTGACCTCACAGGGACCGCCTGGGTCACAGCCCTCGCCACACGCACAGCCTCCACCCCACAATCCTAACAGCATGATGGGACCCCACAGTCAGGTAAAGACACTAGCGATGGGTAGGGCTGTGAACTGGGACGTGCGCTCGATTTGCCTTTTCATCCCCCCCTTCTGTAAGCATGCTGGGCAGCGGGAAGCCGCTTCCCCTGGGGAGCATCCCCCCCCCCCCCGGGCATCCCAGCTCTGAAGCACAATGTTGGCTTTTTTCCCCTCTTTTTTTGTGGTGGTTTTTCTTTTTTTTTTTCTTTCCCCTTTTTTTGGATGTGCAGTGGTCAATGGACTGAGAAGTCAATCGTGGGTATCAGCCGTTTTACCTTCCCAAGGTAGCCTGAGAAGTTTAACTTGATGTGGGTTTTTAAGCTTCTGTTTAGTAGCAGCAAGAAAAGAGTAACTTTAAATCTTTCCTCTGGTTTTTTATCAGTACTTAGCACTGGGTTGGTTTTTTTTTGTGTGTGCGTGTCTGTATGTGCTTATTTGCCACTTTTTTTTATATACCTCTATATATTTAAACCTGACCAGTACCTAACACTCAGGGTTTCCCATGCACTGATTTGAACAGCCTCACCTAGTATTGCCGATGTCAAACACTAAACCTACAGAGAAACTGTTTAAAAAACAAAAGAGTAAGAGGACTCCGGACACCTTTTTTCTTTTCATTTTTAGCGTTTTGTTTTTGTTTTTTTTTTTCCTTTGGAAACGTATCACTTTTTTAAGGAGGATGTCTCCAGAAAACACCAAACTCACACAAACACGGCGTGTACAGGCTAACCGGCGTGCGTGGGGAGCGTGCTGCCTCCCCGCAGCTCGGCCCTCACCTCCCTTTTGTGTCCCCGCAGCCGTTCATGTCGCCGCGCTACGCCGGAGGTCCCCGGCCCCCCATCAGGATGGGCAACCAGGTACTGTGCTCCCTGCTGGCGGGTTTCCTAGGGATGGCTTTCGTTTGGGATCACAGGGGGGAACAAGGGATGGGCATCCTGAAGATGCTCCTTGGGTTCGGATGGCAAGCATCGCACCGGCTCCATCGGGCATCCCGTTTTCTTGGTGCTATCACATAACCATGGTATTTTAATGCTATCTTGAGGTTCAGGCATATCCAGGGTGGGGAATAGGCTGCTTTTGATTTGCGGTGTTCTCAGCATGCTTGCTGCCCGGCTGGATTTTCCCTGCAATCACGGAAAATTAAAGCGATGGAGATAATCCCGCTGCTGGGTCGAGCGAGTGCTGGGATCAGCGGCGGGGTCAAGCAGGGCAGGTCGCTGCTGAATTTTTGGGGTTGGGTTTTATCCTCTTATCCCAGCTTAAACAAGGGCAGTTTGTTTCTGGCCTTACGGACAGAGGCTTCCACCCCACTCGCTGCCTGAACGCGTGGCCTTTGGGTGAGGGATTCCATCTCCTTCCCAACGATGCCATGCAGATCCATAGGGTAATGGCCGAACCATGAAAGGAAACCTGTAATTCCTTTGAGGAGCAAAGGTGACTGTGTAAATGCTACCTTGGGAGCTTGATTTTTGGCCAACAGCATGGGTTTTGTATAGCTCTTATTAGCAGAAAGAGTGGGATAGTCAGGAAATAGGATGTAGCTTCATGTGGATTTGAGACTTGAATCGCTGGAGCTTGCTAAATGATGGAGAGACAGCTGAGATGGAGCTGGGAAAAACTCAGTGGGGGCTGATGTGGGACCCCCAAGCCTGGTTGGGCTGCAAGAGCCTCTCACCAGGGCACTGGTGGTTGTTTTGGAGAGGTATTAATTGACTGCACCTCCTCATGGGGCAGTTTTAGTGGGACCTCATCCTGCTGTGGTCTTGGGCTCCTCCCAAGCTCTGCTGGAGGTGAGCACAGTGAGCTGGGGCAGGCAGGAGACTGGTTTGGGGAGGCTGGTCAAGCATCCAGGAATGGGTAAAGTTAATGAGAAGGATTTAATTCTTTCTCCCCAAACACCATGTGTAAAACACAGGTTTGTACCTATGCATCGCTCAGCAAGGTTATGGTCACATCCAGAGGGATAAGAGGAATAAATAGGCAGGCAGGAAGGTCAGACAGCACAAGTGTAAATACCCATCTCTGCAACCCCTCCTCGTTTATCTTCCTCCTGCTGCCAGCATCCAGGCTGCAGAGAAACAAGGGATTGGGCAGACTGTGCCTTGGCACAGCCACGTGCACCCCGTGCCCGCGCTGCGCTCCAGCAGTGGGATCCATCCTGTGTCGGCACTCAAATGAAAGGCAGCGCTGTAGCAAAAGTGTTTACAGTTTGCTTCCCCCAGGCAGATGGTATCTGCGATTTTCTGCCCCTTTATCTGTTCAGAGCAGCCTTTGAACTTTAAATAGCGTGTTGGCTGAGCAGAAACGGGGGTTTGGGGAGGGGGAGCATCCGCCTTCCCCTCTGCCTGCATGGGGACGGTCTGAACGCCGGTCTGCTGCAAACGGAGCATCTCCCCACTGCAACCTGTGCAGTTGGGACCTGGTGCTGTGTGAATACCGGGGAGCTGTGCTGATGGTCTCCTTTCCCTGCCAGCTTTGACATCTCTCTGCTCCATGTAACCTGGGCTTCCCCTTGCTTCCCTAAAATACAGCAGCCTGACATTGCACGGATTGCAGGGAGAGAAGGAAACACTGGTGACTTAATGTGGTTTTTAGAGGGTGTTTGTGAAAGGAAAGGGGAGGCAAACACACGGAGGCTGTAGGAAGATATAACTGGGATGCAGCAGGATGTGGGATGCAGCAGGATGCGGGATGCTCAAGCAACCGCAGGTTATGATGCAGCAGGAGGGGTGGTGCATCCCAGGTTGCTCACTGAGGAGCCCACTGAAAGCCTGAAGCCTCAACCCAAATCTCTGTCTGTGGGCTGCATTTTAGCAGTTACTGTGGTTTTTTACTCTTCCTTCCCTTGCCTTCACAGCCCCCGGGCGCCGTTCCCGGTACACAGCCATTGCTGCCCAATTCGATGGATCCCACGCGACAGCAAGGTAAACCCAGCAGGGGAGGACTGAACGTTAAACCTTTCTCGTTGCCTGTTAATTTGGGACCCAAAGCAGTCGCTGCTGTGCCATGTAACACCCCTGCTTTCCTCCCAACAGGGCACCCTAACATGGGCGGCCCCATGCAAAGGATGAATCCTCCGCGAGGGATGGGCCCCATGGGTCCCGGTCCACAGGTAAGCCCAGCACCAAAGAGCATCTTACAGGCTCCATCAAAACAACCTCTTGAGGCCCAAAGGGCTGGGAGTTCCCCCCACACACCCTGTCCCCCCCATTAGTGTTAATGCATTTTACATTAGTCTTGCATCTGGAAATCCCTTCCTTTTAACATGAGTGAGGTCTTCGAAGCTCATTAAGGATATTGCAACATCCCTCCTGCCCTTCCGTCAAAGGGGATGGCACTTAGTGCTGCGCCGGAGCAGCCTTTGAGTGCATTACACTGCCTGCTTGGGAAATAGTTCCGACCCTAACAGCAGGAAAGGGAAAGGAGGCTTGCATTAGAAATAAATAAATAACAAGGAATGGCAAAGATCCCTTCGGCAGGGGAATAAGGCTTTCCCCGGCGAGGTTTCCCCTCCGCCTGCCTGCTTGAGCTCTCTATTTCAGGCAAGGGGAGTAAACTCTTGAAATTAAGCAGATCTGGGTTAATATATGCCGTCTTTCCCATGGATTCACTTTACGGAGTGGCTCGTTGTTGACTCACTCCTGTTTGTTCCTTCTACGAGACTTCAAAACCGGATTACCATATTTTGGTTGGAGGTTTATCCTCTCTGCATCGTCGCCTACGTCGAGTTTGCAGCACGAGGATCGGAGTCTGTCAGGAGACGAGCGGGTGCGCTGCAGTCTTGGTTTGTTTCCCCCCCCGGAGCCTGTTGGGAGAAGCGAATATTGTGTAAAGGGGGAGCTGGTGTCATCTCTCTCTAACACCACCATGAGGATGCTGCTCGGGGATGCCCGCCCGTGTCGGTAGGGTCCACCCGGGCGCAAGGGGATCAGACCTGCGCGAGCATCGTTCCACGGACGAGCCCTCCGTTAGCGCCAGCGCTGTGCTTCCGATCCTCCTTTTCCCTGGAGGCTTGCTCCCGAAAGGAAGATGGCATTTGTCAGCGTGGCCTGTGCCAAGGCGAGCGGCAGCGCTTGCCTGGGGGAGGCTGCTCACTTTCCCACTTGCAGTGAAACTTGGAAGCGGGGAGCGCGCTCTGAGCGCCGCGTGGGATGGCGGCGGCTCCGGCAGCCGCGGGAGTTGTGAATGTTCAGGGCTTTATTTTTGACTCCGACGTTCCCTGTGTACGTACATTGGGGAGAGGGAGCTGGGGGGGGGGGTTTGGAGGCAGCTTTTCCCTGGAGAAGCGATGGGCTTCCCAATCTGGCACCCACGGGCGTTGCCTCCTCGCAGCCATCCGGGAGCCAGCGCCTGTGCAGGCAGCCACCAAAATAACATAGAACTGCTTGGGTTGGAAAAGACCTTTAAGCTCATCCATCCAGTCCAACCCCTACCCCAGCGCTGCCAAGGCCACCACTAACCCATGGCACTGAGGGCCTCATCCACACCGTTTGTGAACACTTGCAGGAATGGTGACTGCAGCCCTGCCCTGGGCACCCTGTTCCAATGCCTGAGCACCCTTTGGGGAGGGGATTGTTCCTAACACCCAGTCTAAACCTCCCCTGGCACAGCTTGAAGCTGTTTCCTCTTGTCCTGTCTCTTGTTACTTGGGAGAGTAGACCAGCCCCTATATCATATACATCGTACTGAACCAAGCCCATCAGCCCCTCACGCCTTGCATACCCAGGGCTTTTTTTCCCTTTAAGCTTTGCATCAGGACCTTCGTAAACATCCTTAAATTATTCCAAAGGACTGCAGAGCATCCAGCCAGGACATCCCAGCGTCCTGACAACAGCTACTCATTACGCACCAAGGATGAATCATCCCTCACAGCTGATCCCCGCTGCCTTTTTCCCTTTAATAGTCGCAGTTTCAGCTCTGCAGAAGCCAGGATCAGGTTTGCCCGTGCCTCTTGTGAAGGGTGTTTGTAGCTCGCTGGGTTTCAGCGGTGTCTTGCCAGAGCCTGGCATCCAGGTCGCTCGGCACAGCTGCGTTCCCTCCCCACCATCCATGAGCATCTTTCAGCTGGCTTCGTTTTCCAGCCTTTCAGCTCCAATTAAAAACGCTTAGCTTTTCCTTTCCTTGGAAAAATAAAGGGGGGGGGGGGGGGTTGATGCTGCTATTCAGTGTAAATGGCTGGAATTTCACTCAATTAAGGACTTGCCGGTAATTTGTTTAGGGAAAACCCTTTTCTGCCTCTTCAAAACAAACTTGGCGATGCCCTCAGCGGAGCACCATGCTCGGGTGCGTCCATAAATCCAGGGGAAATTGATGGCACTGAAGTATCGTTCTTAAAATCCAGCTTGGAGCGCTCCGAGGGGCTTCCAGTTAGGAAGCGGCCATTCATCCCTCCTCCTGCCCGAGCGATTTTTGCTCCAAATGGCAGAAATACAGCCCAAAAAGACAGCCCTCCTCGCTGGAGGAAGGTGGGAGGGGAGGAGAGGCAGCGTGACCTAAATCTGGCTGCGCATCACCCAGAGGGCACAGGGAGCAAAGCAGACCAAATGGAGCACGGCATTCAGGGGATTCCTCTTCCTTCCAAGCCTTGGGCTTGGCTTTGTACTGGAGCTGGGTTTAGGAGATGAGGGACGCAGATCTGAGGCTCCTGGTCCCAGCTGGGGGCGAAGCCGGAGTGGAATGAGCCAGGAGAGCAGCCCCAAGGGGGCTGTCTGCCCTCGCCTGCTCCCTATGGCTGCAGACCCGCTGCAGGGGATGTAGCAGAGAGCTGGGAAGCAAGGGGAAAACAAGTCTGGCTTGGTTTTCCCTGCTCCAGCCTGGGAGCAGGGGATGCTCCATCTCAGAGGGGAGCTCATGCAGCCTTTTCCCATCCTTATGCTGCAGCAGGAACCTCCCAAGCAACGCTTTCTGTTCTCTTCCTGCCCCTGTTTTCTCCTGCACAAACAGACAAGCCCAAAGGGCTGCTGCTGGCTCCTGGGGGCTGTCTCCTGGAGCTGGGAGGAGGCTGTTTTCCCCCCACCAAGGCGGCCTCAGAGACCAGGGGGCACTTTGGGGCTAAGCCTGGCTCCCTTCCATATTGCTGGGGTTTATTATAAGCACGATTGCTAATTGCCTCCACATTCATCCTCATCATCTCAGAAATATCCTTACTTTTGCAAACAAACCCTCTTGGGTTTGTGTTTGTTTGGGGTTTTTTCCCGTTCTTTTGTCTTCTCTGGTTTCCCTTCCCTTTATGGCAGACTGACCCTTGGTTATCGTTGCAGAACTACGGCAGCGGCATGAGACCTCCACCCAACTCCCTAGGTCCCGGCATGCCTGGAATTAACATGTAAGGAAAACCCCTTGGGATGTGTGGGTGCCAGCTGGGGTTTTGCAGGACTGTACTGATAGAAACACAACTTACCTTCTCTTTTGCCCTGTTTCCTTCTGATCGCAGGGGGCCGGGAGCCGGGAGACCATGGCCGAACCCCAGCAGTGCTAACTCAGTGAGTATCACACAATCATGGAATGGTTTGGGCTGGAAAGGACCTTTAGGATCACTCAATTCCAACCCCCAGCCATGGGCAGGGACACCTCACATTAAACCATGTCACACCCAAGGCTCTGTCCAGCCCGGCTTGGGGAGCATCCCATAAATGAGGCCACTCCTCATTAGCTGAATCCTGCTAATTAGAGGGGTTCCTCAACCTCTTGTGCAGAACTGTATCTAAACCCTGCTCCTCTGTGGGGTGCAGCTGGGGCTGGTGGGCCCTGGTACCCCCCCCTCCTGGCTGGGCTTGAGGGGGTGGTGGGGGCTTTTGGTTGTGCCCCACTGGGGTCCAGCCCTTGGGACCCCCCAGTGCACCCCGTGGCTGAACCTGGCTCTCTTCTCTCTACAGATCCCATACTCTTCTTCATCGCCTGGTACATACGTGGTGAGTCCTCCAGCTCCATCTGTCCATCTGTCATTGGGGTGCGGGGATGTTACGGCTCAGGGAATCGCTGGCTGCTGGGGGGCTGGCTTTGGGGGTGCAAGGTGCAGCTGTGGGGGGCATTTGGAGACATGGGGAGATGGGTGATGCTGATGGTGTTTGCGTGGCTGATCCCTTTGTCTCTCTGCAGGGTCCGCCCGGCGGCGGCGGTCCTCCAGGGACACCCATCATGCCCAGTCCTGCAGGTATGAACCCCCCAAAATCCCCTTCTCCAGTCCCTTCCCCTGCTGGGAAACCCTCATCCCTAGGGATGCATCACCAAGCACGGGCAACCCATGTCCAGCCAGTGATAACCAACTCATGTAGCTATTGCCTTTGTGCGGGGAGAGCAGCGTGGGCTGCTTGGCTTCAGGATGGCGTTTGGGGATATTCCGTCTATCCGCCTATGGATTCAGGTGCTGCAGGGCTCGGGGAGGTGAGGAGTGCTCCACATGTGGGAATTACCTCCCTGCACTTCCCAACCAGGACTTGAATTATTTTCCACAGTTGAATTTCTGTGATTAAAAACTTTGTGGATCTTCATTAAATACAAATTAGGCAGAAAATGGTGGTACTTAGAGGGAATTTTAGGTGATAAAATACAAAAGAATGAGTTCAAGTGGCACGAGTTTGTTTTAATTAAGAAATGAATTAATCACCCGCCTTACTGGGCTTCACTGTTCCACAGATTCAACAAATTCAAGTGACAACATCTACACAATGATTAATCCAGTACCGCCCGCAGGCAGTCGATCGAATGTAAGTCTGCTTTCTAATAATTTACATATCAGATACCATAACAAATCATAATTAACTTCATCAGTTGCGAGGAAAGCAGTTTAATTGATTTCAGCCATTTGTTACAAAACAGGAATAAAACAAACCATCCAAAAGCGATTAACTCTTGGGCGACTTTGTTCATTTCTGATGCCTATTAGGAGAGCCGCGGTCCTGCCGCTCCGGCCAAGGTGGTTGGTGGCAGCTGTGTTGTGGGGGATACAGGAGGGTTTTAGTCTCATTGGTTGGAGGGAGCCCTTTGCATTGCCGTGGGGCTGGCCGGATTCTGCTTGTTGAGAAGGAGCTGGACCGTGCTTTTGCCAAGAAAGGTTGATCCTTGAGGTCCCTTCCAACTTGGTACTCCATGATTTACATCCCATGACCTCCCCGCAGCCTCAGCGGCGGATGCATCCCTCCTCTCGCCCCATTCCAGAGGGATGGCTGGGCTGGGGATGGAGCCACCAGGGCCATGGCGGATGTGCAGGGTGGTTTTGTGGCTGATTTTGGGGTTTGTCCCCTTCTTCTTCCGCAGTTCCCGATGGGCCCTGGCTCTGACGGCCCCATGGGCGGCATGGGTGGCATGGAGCCCCATCACATGAACGGATCGTTAGGTGAGCCACCCGCGTGAGGGGCTGCGGCGTTCACTCCGTGGGGGCTGCAGAGTATCCCATCTGGGTCAGACCCCAGTCCAGACCAGCGCTCAAAGCAGAGCCTTTGGCTGGAAATCGGATGGGGACCCAGGGAGGAGAAGGGCAGGAGGGCATGGGGACCATCACTGCACACTCAGTAATGCTCTTCTCCTTTTGTGTCCCCCGCCGCACAGGGTCAGGAGACATAGATGGACTTCCAAAAGTAAGTGACCTGCAGAGCGTGTGTGGGCCCCCTTTTCTCAGCAGTGGGGTGCTGGTGTGACCCCAATGATGGGGGTGCTTTGAGGGAACATGGTTGGGGCAGGTGGGGCTGCATCCTCCCGCCATGGTGTTTTCGGGGGACGCAGGACCCTGCTCACAGCCTCCCCTCTCCATCTCCTGCAGAATTCTCCAAACAACATAAGTGGCATTAGCAATCCCCCGGGCACTCCAAGAGACGACGGGGAGCTGGGAGGCAACTTTCTCCATTCCTTCCAAAACGACAATGTGAGTGAGGACCTCCTTGGGGATGGCGGGATGGCCCCTGGGGTGGCACAGGGATGGATGGGCTTGGTGGTTGGTGCCTTTTGGACCTGTGAGCTGCTCCAGGACAGAAAGTGAGGAGGAAGAAATAACAGTGGTGGGTGCAGTTTTGGGTCCTTGGTGGGATGGGGGTGTACAGATGGAGGGAAGAGGATCCCACAGGATGGAGAGGAGATGGATGGTGCCAGTGCAGCCAGCTGAGCTGGCCTGCCTGATTCAAGACTTCCAGACATCCCTCCTCTTCCTCTGTTAGCAGCATATACACACGTGGCTGTTAATTACTTGCCTTTAATTGCATCTCACCCCATACTGTTGTGCTGATTTTTATCCCTGGAAAAAGCAAGTTACAGAGCAGATTATGCCCTGATAAACATAAGTCTGCTCCCGATTGATTGGATCCAACTAGGTTGCTGCATAGTTGTCATCAGCCATCCTTTGGCATCCCCCTTCGGTGTCAGGGGGTCTGGTCCGGCTGGTTTCTCACCCTGGCTCTATCTCTCTTCCAGTATTCCCCCAGCATGACGATGAGTGTGTGATTTCCCTCCCCCTCCTCCTCTCCAGGATCAAGAGAGTCAGCTGCCATTCGGAGGATCTCAACGACTTATGCAAGAAGAAGAAGAAGAAGAAGCTAGGTGTATGGGCAGGGACACGCGTGGCGGGGGACAAAACCCCAGGTTTAGTTTCATGCAATAAAAAGGCTGAACTTTTTATTCCATAAAACATGAAGGACAAAACTTAAGATATTTCAAGACATGACAAGACCCTTCTTTGTGCGGAAGGGTTTATATATGTACATGACACTTCTTTTTGGAAACAAACGGAAGCCTCTAGCACCCAACTCCGATCTCTTTGCTTTGTTCTTTTAAATAAAGACAGAAACCGAACCTGTTGTATGTTTGTGCCGTGCGACACCAGGAAGCTAGTCTAGATATGAAATCTCATGTTGTCTCTGTTGTAGTCATTATTATTTCTCTCTCTTTTTTTTTTTGTTTTGTTTTTAATAATAAACTGGACAGTTTACAATGGTGGTTTTCGTTCAGAAGGCCTGGTTTTGGTTGTGTTTTGGGGTGGTTTTCCTTCCCCCCCCCCCCCCAATATGTTTTTGGTTTGGTTTGGGGGCTTTGGTTTTTGGTTCGTTCTGCAGCACAACGCTTCCTCCTCCAGTTAACAAGATCTGCTTTGGGGAAGAGACTCCACCACCTCGTTCTTTGTTAACGCAGGTGACCCCTTCTAGGATCACATCCTCGAATGAATCGTGATCTTGCTCTCTGTGACTGTGGCATGCACTGTGTTAGTCTTTCCCCCCCTCTCTGAGTACAAGAAGAAATCTCTGTCCCTCCCTTCCCCAGAGCCCTTCAGCTGGTTCACTGCAAACAGTTGATTTCTGTTATGATTTTTGTCTTAAATCCACCAAAAGAAAAGGGTTAATCTGACCTGGGACTTGGAAACTGTGATCTCCAGCTAACATTGGGGGGGGTGGGGGGGTGGTATTTGCTTTGGGGGTATTTTGAGGGGGGGGGTATTCTTTTCTTTAGAGATGTGCTCTTGTCAAGGTTTCACTTCTCTCTGATTTGGAACTGGATGGAGATATTTTTTAAGGAATTCTTGTTGTTAAGATGTAACCTTGCTATTCTGTAGGCTCGCTCTGTATCAAGGAAATAAAAACTAATGGCAAGCATCGGAGGCCCTTCCTTCTGGTGGGAGAGGAAGGGACACGAGCCAAGGCGGCGGGTTGGGATCTCTGTACATGACACTTCCCCTGTAGTTTGGTCTTTGTTTCTTTCTCCAGCTCCCGTTTCTGCTCCATGTATATCATACTCTGTAAAATACTCTCTCCTCCCTCGGATTTGCCCTTTGTGCGGATTATTGCAAGCATTGTATCTTGTTTCCGTGTTTTTTCTTACCTTGTAGTCTGGTTCGAAAAGTTACCCAGAGGGGGAAAAACAATGAGAAAAAAAAAAAACAAGTAATAATTATTCTACATTGTAGTTTGTGTACGATATTTGTTGATAATGTTTTATTAAAGGGATGTCTTTTTTCCGCACCCCTCCATTGCCATGTTTTTGGGGACATTTGGCTTGTTTTGATTATTCTGACTGCAAGACATGAGATGACAAAACCTTTTTTTATTATTATTATTAGTGTGTAATATGAATTTTGGGGGGTGTTTTTTTCAATGTTTTGCCTTCTTTTTCCTGGGCATTTTCATTGTGCTTTACCTGTAGAAAGTCGCTGGGGAGGGAGGGATGGGTGGGATGGGGGGGTTCTGAGGGCATCAGTCTCATAGTTACAGTCAGGTTAATACCTCCCATAGAAATAACACAGATTTGTTGCAAATACACCCGGGGGCTCCCCAAGGGGTCACCTCATTTTCCTTTCCCGCTTGTTCACGATTTGTTTTTTTATATATATATTATTTTTTTTTTCCTTTTATTTTCCTCTTTTTCTCTTCTGTTCTGACGTGAGGAAACGAAAGGAGCGGGTTTAATGTATTTTAAAATGAATAGCTAAATTATTGTCTTCATTGGTATGGGATGGTTCTTCGAATGGTTACGGTTCTCCCCCCTCCCCTCCCCATGCTGTAATAAATATCAACATAAACATTTGATTCCGGTGCTCTGCAGTTTGTTCTGCTCCTCGCTGCCAGACCCAGGGGGTAACGGGGAGTTGGTTTTCAGCCTTTATTTATCATGGACCAAGCCGAGGTTTGGGATGCGGGAGCGGAGGTGATGCTGAGCTGGGGGTTCTGGCTGAGGCTGGGGAGGCGGATGGGATTCGGCTGCAGTACAGGACCCAGAACAGGTTTGGTTGAATGATGCTCACTTAGTTAAAGGTTTTGGGGGTTTTAAGCAGCTTGAAGCTTTAGCTTTTAGCCCAGGAAAAAGATCATTCCTGCCTATACCAGGTTGAGGATGTGCTTGCTGGGCCCTTGTCTGCCTGGCAGCAGGCAGAGCTTTCAGGGGCTGAAAAGAGAGATCATTTTTGCATCCTGTTCCCCAGGATTTCCCCATTAGAGGCTGGAGGAATTGCGATGCCCTCATCCATCACCATGCTGGCATCCCATGCAGCAGGCTGCACATCAGGGATGCCTGCGAGAGGAGCTGGCTTCTGCTACCTCCTGTTGCTGGCATCCTGCACTGCTGGGAGGTGAGCAAGGGAAGGGAAGGGGAGACAGGTGTCCCCTCCAAAATAGATACATACATCTATAGGCTTGCAATGGGGTCTGCTGACCCCCTTGGGCAAGGCAGGCTGCGGTGTAGGGGGTGTGTGTGCACCTTTGCATGATCAAACTTGGCTCCAGGAGATGCTGGGGAAGCCAAGGCGAGGTTGACCTGGCATCCCAACAGGCAGCATCAGCAGTGTTTGGGGAGATACTGGGGCTTTTTAGGTCTTTAGCTGGGTGGTTACAAGTGCCGAGGGCCTGAAACACTCCCCAGAGCTGCCATCTGAGGCTTGTTCTCTGCTCCAACCAGTCCAGGCAGGATAGGGCTGGCTGCGATCTCCTCCTTGCGGGAATGTTGTTCAAGTGTGGGCTGCAGGCCTGGGGGGGGCTTTGAGCTATCCTGGAGCTCTGCCTGTGCTGGGGGATGCTCCCAGGACTCCACAGCCACATCACCGCTGCCATTCCAGGAGCACTCCATCATGGAGCCGAAGAGTGAGGGAGGGGCAGTGTGTGGGCTGGGAACCACCCAGAAACACCATGGTGCCTGTAGAACCCATTAGCATGTAATTAGGAGCTCGGTGTGTCTGCACCCTTTGCTGCCTGCGCAGGTTTAGCACCAGAGACATCCTGGTGCGGGGTCGGCAGCCGTGCCCCAGTGTGGGTTTTGGTCCAGGCAATCCCACCCCTCAGGGCTTCGCAGAGGGTAAAGTGTGAGCATTCGCTGTCATTTGGAAACATGACCCCCAAGTGTAATTAGTGATGCTGATGAGGCCCCTCATGCCCTCCGGGCTTTCTGAAGCCGTTCCTGCCCATCCAGGAGCAACAGGCAGCATCACTGCCTGTGGTGGGTTCATTGCAGGGCATAGGAAAGCCCTTCCCGGCGGTTCTGACTGGGTTACAGGCTAATCTGATTAAACACCACCATGAGAAACTGCCAAGTTCCCTCCTCTAAATGTCTCCCGAGCCCAGCCTTAGGGATAATTGTCTCCCCCATTAGTTTTCATTAAATTAAATGCAGGAGGAGGATCTGAAAAACCAGGGGCTCCGGTCTGAGCACAGCACGTACTTGCTGGCACGATGAGGGCAAGCCCATGGAGTCAGGTTTTGCACCGGCGGTGTGGAGTGATGGAGCACGGTGCATCATCCCCAGGGCAGGCTGGGGACCAGGTCCTGCACTTGGGGCTGCAGAGCTCTCCTCTGGCCAGGCAGGCACCACCGGTCTTCATCTCTGACTCCTGCTGCCCTGTTCTTGCATGCTCTGCTTCCCTGGCTGCAGCTCATTAAAAGTTAATGCCTGGCTCCTGGTCCGTGATGAGGTAATGCCATTCATCTGCTGAGGAGCCTTTATAAGTTATTGATGCCAGCCCAGATGTGCTTCCATGACCTGTTGATCTGCTCCTAGCTCTATCTTTCTCAGCTGGGCCAATTCCAGCAGGTCACACTGGAGGAATGAACCACGGGCAGCATGCTTGGGAAAGCTATTGGGACACCATGCATGTGTGCATGGCTGGCTGTGGTAGGGCTGCTGCCTGGTTCACACACCTTGTAGCTCCACCACAATGGATCAACCTGAGCATCCTTCTCATGTGCCAAGCTGGGAGGCCCACTCTGCCCTACTTCAGTTCTCCTCCTGGACCTTGGAATAGCTTACCAAGCACAAGGATCTGCTGCTCCTTCCAGCAACATGTGAGTAACTGCTTCTTCCCTTAGTACAGGTCTCATCAACTGTGCCCTGTGCAAACCAGGGTTGGGGGCTCACATGCTTGTGTATGGTCCCCTCATCTCAAGTGGCTTCTCGATGCCTCTTGTAACTCATTCCCTGATGACTATCCCATGTCCTATTGCTTCTGCCACTTCTCAACACTGCCTTTGCTCTGCCTCCATCCATCTCTCCCTGTGCTCGTGCTTTGCCTCTGCTCAGTCCTGGAAACACCAGGACCCAGCTTCACCAAGTTTCTCCTCTTCTACAGCCTGTCCTAATAGAGACCTCTTTGTCAACAGGTAAAAGCATCTAAAGGGATTTTGGCTCTTCCCCATGCAGACCATCTTCAGCTGGTCTTCAGCTTCCCACATCCCTAGAAGCATGGGACTTGTTTCATCTCCCTACACCCCCTCTTCACTACAGCCACTCTTCTATGAGGCTTCCTCAGTGAAGCCACCCTACTCAGGAATGCTAATGCTGTGGCTGGCTGCCCTACAGGGCTTCCCCCTCAAGAACCAGTAATGACCCAAAGCTGGAAGGGTGAGGGGATGTGAACAGCTCTAGGGCTGTCCCGCAAGGTGTGTGTGGCACAGCAGAGACAACAGCCTGAGAAACAAACACTGATCGGTCTCCACAGAGCACAAGTGTAATACAATATCTACCTAAATAACTGGGTGCAAATTAGAGATTGGAGTAGATTTAAAGCGATGAGCTGAATTAGGGATCCCTTGAGCAGGCAGAATTAACGTGACTTAGATCAATGCATTATTACACCTCTTTCAAGCCTTTTCCCCTAACTGCTGAGGATGCTTTTAATTTAACTTGCAGCCAATGCATCCCAAATGACCAAGTGTCGATCTTAGATGCGAGTAGTAAAACCCCTTGTTTTCTGAACCCTGCCGGAGTAGAGCAGTCTGATGGATTGAGCCTGGAACACACAACTGGGGTGTTCATCCAGATGGTCAGAGAAGATCACAAAGCACAGACCAGCCTCTGACACAAGATGCTGCGAAGTGAGATGAATTTCTTGGAAATATGCTCTTTCCACGCCTTAAAATAGCACAGGCTGTCCTATTCCTTCCCATGTGCTGGAGGGTAGCGGTGCAGAACTGCAAAACATTCTACATTTGGCTGGAGCTAATTTAGCTTTCATTTTACAGCAAACCACACTAATCCCCACATCTTAAAAAGAATACGCTTCCTGCTCAGTTAACTCTGTGTGGCAGGAAGAAATTCTTCCCTTTGTACTTTTAGCAGCAAATACCAGCTACCAGGCACCAAAGTTTCACGCTATGTTCTACACCCCTTTCCCAAAATGGATAGATAGGTCTCTTCATCCAGGATTGGGGGATAAAAGAACCGTGGTTCTATAGATCCAACAAAGCCATCTCACCGATTAAGTGCTTTGGGAACTAAGCGCAGGGCAGCACGACGCATCCCAAAGCAGCCAGGAGTAAAACAAAGTAAAAAGCCAGGCAGAACGACAAAGGCTTGTGTCTCAGGCTCCCCCCTTGAAGCTTTGGAAGTCTCTTCCCCACACACTGCATTCAGAGGTACTCAAAGCAACCTCAAAAATAGGTTTGAGTCTGGCTCTGTGCAGCAGCACACTGAGAGCAGACCCTGTGCAGAGGAATAATGACTGGCTTATGTTCTTCCTAGGCAACGGTGGAAGAGTGCAGGAGGAGGCGTTTGATGACTCTAACCCGAACCCAGAGGTGAGCCCCTAAAATGAAACGTTTTTCATGCACAATTTGGTGTAAAAAAAAAAAATTTACTTTCAGTAATGATATAATTTATTTTAGAAAGCAAAATTAAACCACCGTTCTTTAATTATGTGATGGCTCTGGCAAAGGGAAGCAGCAGGTACAGTTGGTGAAGTATTTTCATTGGAGCTGAATTTCACACAGTTCCATGCAGATACAGTGCCAGAAACTTCTTGAATGTGTCTGGCTGAAAGCCATATATTCCAGCGGGCCTCTGCAGGGAGAAAGGCATGGATGCTCAGTTTGCAGTGAAGTGATTAATGTAGACAAACAATGGCTTTAAACACGCTTGAGTAAGACTTCAGATGTGGTAGCTTCCAAACGGGTGCTCTCCCTCCCCAGATGGGTTTGCGTGTGGGGACTTCCACTGATACAAACCTCAGATGGCAAAACCTCTTTGCCCATTCAAGTGAAGACACCCTCCCAGCGTAACCAGGGCTGACAGCACTGTGCTCCATTTACTCTACAGTGAAGCTGACAGTTGCATGTAAGCACTTCCTTCATGAAAGCACGAGCTTATTTTAAACAAGTCTATTATGAGATGGTAGATTACAGATGGGGCTATCTTCGTGTAGTTCATATTAAGCTTGGCATGTGGCTTGCACACTATGTGGTACACCAGCACTACAAATACTCCCTGTCAGTAACACCTGCTTAAGTAAGAATGAGGCCAGTGCCTCTGTCATGTTCCTTCACCTAGTTTAAAACCTGTACAGCAGCTCTACACCAGCTCTCAAACCTCCAGCAGAGAGGGAAGGGTAGAACTAATGGGCTGCATCAAAATGAGTGTGACCAGCAGGCTGAGAGGGGGGATTTGCTCCCTCTACTCTGCTCTCCAGAGACCCCCCCCCTGCAGTCCTGCATCCAGCTCTGGGGCCCCCAGCACCAGAGGGATGTAGAGCTGCTCAAGTGAGGAGTCCACAGAGATGCTGTGAGGGCTGGAGCAGCTCTGCTCTGGAGCCAGGCTGAGAGAGCTGGGCTGGGTCAGCCTGGAGAAGAGAAGGCTCCTGAAGGGGAGACCTTAGAACAGCTCCAGTGCCTAAAGGGGCCACAAGAAACCTGGAGAGGGGCTTGGGACAAGGGTCTGTAGGGACAGGGCAAGGCTTTAAAGTGCAGAGGGGAGATGGAGGTGAACTCCTAGGCGTAAGTTCTTCCTGTGAGGGTGCTGAGGCACTGGCAGAGGGTGCCCACAGAAGCTGTGGCTGCCCCATCCCTGGCAGTGTTCAAGGCCAGGTTGGACACAGGGGCTTGGAGCAACCTGCTCTAGTGGAAGGCGTCCCTGCCCGTGGCAGGGGTTTGGAACTGGATGAGCCTTAAGATTCCTCCCAGCCCAAACCATTCTGTGATTTCCAGGACCATTTCCAAAGTTTTCCTTACCAGAACAACTCTCTTCTTGACTTCTGGAGTACACAGGGCATTTTCATAGAGATTCTGATCAGAGTCAATCCAGACCATATTTTTTATGCCATCACTAGAGGCAAGGTCTGTTGTATTTAACTGGAACACCATGAACTGGAAGCGCTGGCCATCTGTGCCAATGCTTTGCACCACTACTGGCTGCTCCAAAACCTTGGGATCATTCTAGGAAAGAAGGGAGGGGGGGAGAGAACACTGAAAAAGCCAGTTACTACAGAAATTGCATGAGTACTTGCTGATTCTGCATCTTCTACTTGGTGTAAAGCCAACATTTTAATAAATGTATTGTTACCTTGCCCAGAAAATTACTCTAGTCAAGCAAGTTTTGAATGTAGATTCTGTATTTTAATTACAATTCCCCCCTCAGCCAGCAATGAAGCATCAATTTACATATACTGAGCTGTGGGATGGGGTGGAGTTTTACAGTTGAACTTACTCCCTGGTTCCTACTCATTACCACTCCAATGTGTGTTACCTCACAGAATCATAGAATGGTTAGGGTTGGAAAGGACTTTAAGATCATCCAGTTCCGACCCCCCTGCCATGGGCAGGGACACCTCACACTAAACCATGCAATACACTGCTGAGCAGTGGTTTTCTGGATCAGCAGACATCAGTACCTTAAGGTTAGAATTGGACCTCTGGATTTGAAAACTACTGGAACAAGCCACAGCAAGGGAATTTCACGACTCTTTCCACCAGAGAAAGAACACAAGCTCAGCAAGTCAGCAGCAGTCTCTGATACATACCCCATAAAGCAGCCTGGCTTTTGCCAGTGCATTGCCAAAAGCAAACATCAGCATCTTGGCACGAAGCTGCTCTGGTCTGAACCTCTGAGGACGAAGGTTGGCGGATTCCAGGAAGAACAGAGTGTGAGGGTGAGAGTATGGATAACCCTCTTTAAAACCTAAATGGCAGATAATCATGTCAGAAATGGCTCAGTAAGAGACTACACAGTCAACATTTCCTCCTGTATCTTCAGGAACTGCTAAGGCAATTTGCTGTGATTTAAGTTCTTGGTTCCTGTGCCCAGCTCCTCGTTCCCACACATTCCCTACCCATGGCTGTCTCCAGGTTAACCTGAACACTAAGTCAAGACAGAAAATTATCCCTGATGGCTAGATCTACCTGTGTCATTGAGCTCTTTGTACACAATCACTTCCTGAAGATCAATGGTAGGAGAGATGGGATGGAAGGTCTCCAGAACATGTTCTTCAGTGGCTAGTACCTCCTCTTTGGAGGCTACTGGTGGTAGTGGGGCCATAGAGTTCATAAGTATTCCATTCTGGCCACGGACCTGCAAGAGAATAGATTCTGCGGAGGGAAATTAGGCTACATTCAAACACTGCTGAGTAAGATTAGGGAAAGATGTATGCTTCCTTTTGGGCAGCAACACTTTAGCAAGTTGCTGGTCTGCAAGGTTCGCTCTCTCCCCATCACCTCCAAACTCATCCTTCTTCTAAAATGTTAATTGCTGGTGTTAATTTCTGACCTAAACATACTTTGAGAAACACCAGCACAGATTCTGAGCACAGAAAAATAAGCAGTTCTACCACACCGGTTCTCTTCTCCCACCCTCTTGCTGACATTGCTTAACACCCAACCAACCTCCTCAGGGCAAGTATCCTGCCATCATCCACGGCTGCCCTTGCTTACAGCACTATTTAAAACTGGAAGGATTACTTGGTTCCATAAATTGCTTCATTTTTCTCCAGCTAGCAGCTTTGTTACCCCTCTTACATTAATGCTTCCACCATAGCAACAACTAACCTCTTTCCCATGTAGCTGCTATCCTGTAGTTTCTAGCCAACATTCTCCTAGCCAGAGAAGGGTATTTTGCAGACATTAACCGACATATATGTATCAGGTCTTCAAACAGCACTGGGCTTTAGAATGAGGAAGAGAAAAAAAGAGTTACATAAACAATGTGATCATAATGGTGGGCAGATGCTTCTGGGACATGAACACTGCAACGTTACTGTATGTTAACCATGTAATAGTGTAGCATTTTCAACCAGTCAACACAAGGCTTCAGATTAACATCCCCCACACCAGCCCTGTTCCGAGTTGGCAGAGGTAACGCTTACTGTTAGCTATTTAAAACCTGACATTCTGCATCAGCTAGAAGTCGATTTCAAGTTGAAACACCCTGGCCTGAGAGAAGCTTTAATACAGAGCATGTGTTTACATTGGTCCTACTGTCAATATGCAGAATTGGGCTGGGACTTTTTGTTTGTTTGCTCTTGCTTTGTTTGTCCTATGAGTTGACCACTTGAGGGTCTAACACCTGTGCGTGATAAGTGAATCGACAGCAGATCTATGTATGATTTTCCTCTATAGTGTTAATGCTTGATGACCGGCTTGCTCTAACAGCACATCTTCCCTATGACTGCAGACTCACCAGTAATACTCCCTCTTGGGAGCAGTTTCTGTCGTGTTCCAGAGCCTTGCATGCCACACCGCATGCTTCACCCGCTCCTCGTGGTCCTCCAGCTGGTGAGCCGGGTTGTCAATGACGCCTTGCACGGACGGAGGCAAACCTTCCACCAGCTTCGTCTTGGTGAGCCACTGCGCCTGCCGAACCCCTTCAAGCATAACCCAAGAGAACACGCGTTAACGAGGCCCCTGGGCGGCCTCAGACACTATGGGAGGTGAAGCCTTGGCTGGTGGGGAAGGGTAAGTGATTGAACACGCTGCGCGGCCCGGGGCAGCGCTAAGGGGCACCGAGGGGGGTGGCCTGGCCCGGCCCGAGGAGGGCCCGGAGGAGGGCGGCCGTGCCGGTACCTTCCAGCATGCGGACTCTCTGGTGGCAGACGAAGCAGCTGCGGTCCTTGCGGAGCGGCATGTCCTCGTAGCGCGGCCCCGGGGAGTGCCAGGGGTCGTGCCAGCCGCGGTCCCAAGGTGGGAAGCGCGGCCGGGCCAGGCCGGGCACGAAGTGCTGCCGCCCCGCGTACGTGATGGTGTCCAGCTCCACCTGCTCCCGCACCGGCAGCCGCTCCACAGCCCGGGCCAGCACGTCCGGCGGCGGACCGCGGGTGGTCCAGGGCGTGCGCGGCAGCGGCCCGCGGGGACGACGCGGCTCCGCACGGGTGAGCACGCCGCGGGTCAGGGCGAGGGGGCCGCTGCCCTTCGCCGCCGCCCGCCTCAGCGCCATCGGCCCCGCCGCCATCGCACCCTTGCACCGCCGCCGCCGCCGCCTCAACGCCCGGCCGCCGCCATCTTGGCGCGCACGGCACGGCGGGAGCGCGGTGGGCGGGCTCCTCCCTCCCGCCACGGGGTGACTGGCGGCGGCGGAGGCCAATGGCGGACGGGAGCCCTACGGTAAGGGAGGGTCGGCAAAGTGCGGGGCGGGGCGGCGGGTGAAGGGCAGGGGCCATGTTGGTAAGTCAGGGGGCGGGCAAAGGCACCTCCTCTTCTGCGCGGGGCGGGGGGGGGTAGTTGAGAGACAGGCCCTTGGGTGTGTGGGCTCTGTGGGCTAGAGGCAGGTGCCCTGCATGGAGGACAGGGCAGGGCTGCGCTGGGAGCCCGCAGACGGGTCCCTGAGCCTTGGGCATGCACCGTAAGTGCTTGGAGCTCTGTAAACACGGCCCGCTCTGAGCCTGGGGTTCTGGGCTCCATCCGCAGCTTGGCTGGGGTCCTGTCATACCCGTGTGGGTGCTGAGGGCCCTGCGCGCGGCCGCTGTGGGAAGGCAGGACCTCTGCCTGCTGGTTCCCTCTCTCTGCCCGTGTTCGGGTCGCAGCGGTGAAGGCTGGTTAATTAATTCACCTTGAAAACGAAGCTGCTCTAAGTGCTCAGTGGTCTCTCCTCACCCGTGGCTTTATAATTTCCTCTGGCCCTCCTTTTGTTTTAGTGGTACGGGTACAAATGGGCCGGGAGCGGTGTTGAGCCAACTGCTGTGTGAAAACAGAGGCCTGAGAGGTCATGGTTTCGGTCTGAGGAGCAGCCGGTGGGTACAGCTCACTCTGAAGCAAGGGCATGGTGAGGGATAAAGAGTGGTTTGGGCTGGAAGGGACCATAAAGACAACCTAGGTCCAGCTCCGTGCCACAGGCAGGGACGCCGCTTTCCTACATGTCTGTGTTTAAAGCCAGGCTCCAGTCTGCTCATAACCAAAGTGTTAATTTGTTTACCTGTGTCTATTTGCCTCTAGGCTGCTGCCTTAAGCCCCACTTCCAGCTCATTGCCCTCCTCTGTTTTAAAGCTGTGCTCTAGCCCGGTGGCTGGAATTCATTATCTGTTCCAATGGACCAAGCTGCAGACTTTTAAGATGCTTCTACTCTGGATGAATGAGCCACTCTTTTGTAGGAAACCACCATAGCAGAACAAGCAGGAGTCAGTGTGTGTGCCTGGTGCTGGAGGTAGCGTTGGGTGGGAAGCAGAGCCTGAGGCTGGGCTGGAGTCTGTTGCACAGCTCCGGGCTGGTGGCTGTGATGTCTGTCATTCCATCACTGGACAGTGTAGAGGCAGTGAGTGCTTGAGCTAAAATGGAGCACTGCAAGGCACTACATTGGCTTGCAGGGTTTTCTGAGTTCCCTGAGGTAGCTTGAGAGAGATTTTCTCAGTCTTCCTCCAAATAATGTTTGCTGATGAGCACGTGCCACTCTTCATTGTGCTGGCTTTTGATGCAGGGCTTGTGTTTTGCAGACAATGAGTGGAAATGAGCACGACTGGCTGGCTCTCAAACCCCAGGAACCTTCTCCATCCCAGTGCTGTGGTGGTGGCTGCAAACCCTGCATCTATGATGTGTACGAGAAGGAGCTTGCACAATGGGAGAGAGCCAAAGCAAAGCAAGACAAAAGCCTTCTCATGGAAAAGAAGGAGCAGGTCAATTTCTCTTTGTCACATCCTAGACCCTGTGCTTTGATGGTACTTGTTAGGGTGTGGGGTTGTGGTGAGGGATGCAGCAATAGATTAAAGCAGCGCCTTAAAAGAAGGCTGTAAACGCGATTCCCCAAACTCTGCTTCACAGCCGCCCTCCCCCTTGCTTGCTCTCTCCGTGCTGTAATGTGATTTTCCAAGTGTCGAGTTCGCCCTGGTGTCGCGTTACAGCGCTGGGTCTGCAGCTTCCCCTGTCGGACAGCTTCCTCCGAGCTCTGTTCTCCTGACCTTTCTCATCTTTTCCTCATTTTTCGACTCGCATTTTGAGAATGAAAAGAAAGCTGCATGTGTGAGCTGGAGTATTTGTCTTTAGCATGTAGTGTTACCTTCTCACTGCCCTTTTACCTAACATTACCTGGGCTGGGTCAAGCAAAAACGATCAGTGCTGAAAGAGGTGACACTATTTCCGGCTCACAGTGGTCACTTCGGCTTCAAAGTTGGCCCCAAAGCAGGGCTCAGCTCTTTTAGCAGTATTGTCTCTGTTCCCAAACATGAGGAGAGGATTGCAGTGAGTCAGAATAGGGTGACCTTGCTGTAAGGTGTAAAAAATGTACTTTAAAAAGAAGGGGGGAGGGGGAAAATGCAAGATCCCAAAGTGCATACTGCAGAACATGATAATGAATCAGCAGAGAGCTGAGATTTGCTCTGGGCCCTGGCATTTAATACACATTCTCCTGGAATCCTGAGTATCTCCAGCACTAAATGAGCACACAGGTTTGCTTCCAAAGAAAAAATGAAATAATAAAAGACACCATCTAACCGAGTAATTATTTATTGTTGTTCTTGCAGAGCAATAATTCAGAGCTGAATCCAGATACATTTACTGCATTCAGCGTAAGCTCGGTGGAGCAGCTAACAGAGGACACCTACCAGTACAGATTTGAATTACCGGGAAATAGCAGCCTGTGCTTGAGTTTAGGACAACATATCGTGTTAAGGTATTGTTCTGTGTGCTAGTTAAACAGTCTGCATTATGTAACCTAACACGGAGCTTTTTGTCAGTAGACAAAGGCTTCATAGCAGGCAAATCATGATTTCTATACCTTCACAGTGACACGGATGAAAGAGCTCGTGAGCTCACTAGCTCTGCTAATTTTATGGTAAAAGCCATTCCAAAGCTGTAGTTTTCTTCAGCATTATCCTTGCCTCAGTGGGCCAGAAAGAGCTAGGTGTGATTAAGAAAATCCATTTGCAGGAAGAAAGACTCAAAGAATAGGTGTTATAACAGATGATTTGCTCCGGTGTGTTGGAATGAAGACAATGAGCTGCGCTCACCCCACAGCTTGGTATTTGAGGCCCTGTGTCTTGGGGTAACTCAGCACCCAGGATGTAACTCCCAGCATCCAGGCATTTCCTGACTGATTTCTAGCAAAACGACTCTCCTGTGTAGTTCATTGCTTGCCAGAAAGGGGCCACTTGGGAAGAGTTTATGTCTCTCTCAGCCATCTGTGGTGAGCACTGACAGATAGGAAAAGTCATATTATGATGCCATTGATCTGTATCTGTTGACGTTATTTGCGCGTTAACAGCGGATGTATGCAGCTGGCTGGTGCTGGAAGAACACGCTTCTCCCCTCAGTTATCTCTCATAGTGCAGCAGAGGAAAAGCTTTGGTCACTTCAATCAATTACTCTGGTCAGTAGTAAAGAGCAGGGTGGATATATTCTATGAGAAGAGAAGATTTACAGGAAAATATGGTGTACATTGACAGGACCTCAGGTCAAAGCTGTGCCCTGGCTTTTCTTATTTAATTACCAGATGCTGTCTGAGCATAGGCAGTCCAAAAATGATAGCAAACTTAACCGTGAAGGCATTCAATATTCAACATGTCCCTGTTGTCACTCTTGCATGTTTGGCTCACACTTGCACGTTTGGCTCAAAAGCCTTCCAGTGGTGTGTCCGAGAGCTGAATGTGAGATACTGCTGGGAAAAACAAAAGATGCATTTAACCATTATGTTTCTCCTGGATTTTTACCTCTGAAAGGGAAATGCACTGCATATGTGCACAGGCTGGGCTGCTGGGAAGAGAACCTGCTGCCTCCTTGTCTCCCCAGAGGTCTGCAGAAGTTCGGTAACACCAGTCAATGACCCCAGTCATGGTGGGTTCCTGTGTTTCTCTTCTCAGAGGAGCGGTGAATGGTTTGGAGGTGCAGCGAGCCTATACCCCAATTAGCCCAGGGAATGCTGAAGGTTACTTTGAAGTTTTAATCAAAGTAAGTAAGCCTGTACAATATGGATTAGAGTCTAAGATGCTGGGAATGGTGTTTTCTTTAGGAACCAAGCATGCTGTTGGCACTTCAAGTGAGGCTCTCCCAAATCCCTCGTGGACTGCTTCTGTGTTGTTTTGAAGCAGTTGTGCTTTACTGATAAAACCTGCAGTTTTTCCCACAAAACTGAAAGCAGAGGAAGGTGACACACAAACAAGTGCTTTGCAGCATAAGCCCTGTTAAAGCACTTGGGAGAGCCTCTTGGGAGCCCTGCAGTTGCCAGCATGGAAAGAGGTGTCCATTCCACTTCCCTGACTTCATTTTGCCTTCCCAGTGTGTCTTTGAAATTGCACCCACTTGTCAGCCCCATTGAATCACTGCTTTTGGGAAGTCCCAGCCCTTTGCCCCCTGCCCCTGAGTTTTACTTTAAGAACACTCCTCAGAAGTTTCATTTTGGTTAGAAATGTAGACAGACAGTAGGCAGCAGTTTCTGGTTTGCAGGAAGGGCTCTGGAGCTGCCTGCAGTCTGGGAGGGTCCCCATGGGGCAGAGAGGTGGCGTCAGGGTGGATGGGGTGGCAGAGACAAGTGTCCTGATCCTTCTGGAAGGCACCACAAGACGCTGGTCGAGTTCAAAAGGATTTTATAGGAGAACTTAGCTGGAAATTAGTCTGGATAAAGTCTGCAGGGCTCTCAGAAATGATTACTTTGTGTGGCAAGAATCCAGTTGAAGAACACTTTTCCAGTCCTGTGTTTGTGTGTCACTGGTGATGCCTTAGGACAGGCACAGGCTTCAGTGTAGCTGTGAAATTCAGACTGCTGGGTATCCCAAGTGGCTTGCAGAGAATGGCCACTTGTCCTCTGCATGTCTTCCAGGATTTCAAGTTTGGGGGGGGCTATTATGCATTGTACATTGGAGCATAAATGCTGTTCTTTACAAAACCCTTCAGCTTCTGTAGGACACCTGTGGGAGGGTCATTTCACCATTCTTGTGGCAATTGGTGTGTGGTAGGGAAGTGTTGCATCTGAGTTGGATTAATAGGATACGTTCACAGGATGACTGTGAAATTTCACATATACTTGCTTATTACTCACAGGTTTTGCATTTCAATAATAATAGTAATGATTGTAATGATACCTTTCCTTTATATAGAACCTTTCATCCCAAAGGGAGCTATAGTTACTCTCTGGCAGTGACAAAAAAGGTTGGTAACACCCAGTGTAAAGCAGCCATTTGTATAACTCATTCTGTAGGTTGTGGTATATTTCACACTATTCAGGCAATTTTGGAAAGTACTATATTATTATTATTACTTTGCAATCCAAGCACTGTTCAAATCCTTCTGTCTCCTGTTATTACAGCACTGCATTTGTGATACTACAGTTAAGAGTGAGGGAGTTGCCATTTACGGAGCATAACCCTCTTTTTGAGTGATTTTATAATGTTACGGTTTCTCTCCATGTAAAACTGGGTGTAGAAGTTTCCCCCCAGGACATAATTATTTCTTTTTGTTTAGAAAAAATGCTTTTTAAACCCACTCAATCACTTCTCACTTCAATTTTGGGGAATAATTTGGGAGAAAGAAGGATTGGTTTGGTTTCCATTGCCCTGGTCAGTTGGGAATAGGCAGTAAGTGGGGCTGACTTCTGCTTTTACTTTGGGTTTCCATATATATTTGAAGAAGATCAATCTAAAATACTTCTCCTTTGGTGCAGCTCCACACTCTTGGTGTGAGACTTAGTATCTGTCCAGAGCCCTCTGAACAGAAATGTTTCTGATAGTAACTCAGAGCTTGGATGTATGTTATGCATTTACCTTTTGAATGTAACAGCTGGTGCTAATAGTTGTTAATGCTTCAGGTATCTTGTATAAATTGGGTTGTTAGGAGGGGAGGAGCATCTCTGTTCTTTATTGGCTAACACTGCTTGCAAGCACAAGCACACGCTTGCTCAGTCACTTTTTAGCTGCTTTGTGGTTGACTGATTCTGTTTGCCTGCAGTGCAGCTTGGTGGCCAGCCAAGGCCCTGGGGTGTGGAGCTGGGCTTCTCTCCAACGTGCATGCGGAAAAATACCCCAAAATATGCTGCTTTTGTATAGGCTGGAGTCTTTGAAGGCTCATATCACATACCATCTCTTCACCTCGGGCTGTGTTGCTCTTCCTCAGGCTTATCAGTGGCATCACCTCAGTGCGAGACCAGTTGTCTGCTGTTGGGCTTATCTGCTCTTGCTGTTTGGACCAGCCCTTGTTCTCCAGCTAGATCCCATAGACTGTGGCCATTCTTTTGCTCACGTTTGCTCTCATTAACCATAAAGTGGTCTTACATATAGGACGTAGGTAGACATATAGGACATAGCTAGAAGAGTGCTTGTAGAATGAAGAGCCCTTCATTTTCCAGCCTCTCCTTGCTTCTCTGTTTCTAACAAGCACAACCCTTTCTCATCAGTCATGACTGAGGTTGGCATTCCTGCAGGCAAAAGCCCAGATAATATTGTTTGTGCCTCATAGAAAGTAAGGCAGTTTTTTGCTAATATTTTTCTTCCATGAGGCCCATATTAACATATCTTAATTTTGAAAATGTGAAAGCATCTCTTAAAATCCACATGATCTCTTCTGAAAACGGGAGTTTCATAAATGAGAAACCTGACTTTGGGGCACCAATTGTATCCACACAGCATCTGAGAGACTGAAATAAAGCAAGAGCTATGCAGTGTTTATATAACTAACAGTATCCAGAGGGCATTTCCAGACCCCATACTCTGAGATTTGGAGAACACTTGAAGGCTTGGACTGTGCTTTGCATTCAAGACACTCTTCTTGTGCTTTGTAAGCAAGAGCTCTGATAAGCTTTTTCCAGTTTTGGAAATTCAGGCTGCATGAGAGTGGTTTGTGTTTATATTATAGTCAAGCTGGAATGGATCCAATATGATTTAATTTAAATGTCTTTGTTTTGGGTATAACTTTGAGTTATTTTTCAAACAGAAATGATCTTTCTTTCGTAAACCCATACAATGTTTTTTTGTCCCTTTCTTGTTTAAATGTAGATAACTTTATAATTGACTTTAAGCTGGGAAACTTTCCAACAGAGTATAATTATTCTTTTCTTTTGTACAATGCTTTTTATTAGTGCTATGAAGCTGGGCTAATGTCACAATACATAAAAACATGGAAAAAAGGAGACACGGTCTTTTGGCGTGGGCCATTTGGAGGGTTCCCGTATCGACCTAATAAGGTTAGTTCCCTAAGAGACAGAGGATGTGGCAGCTAGCTTTGTCTAATACTCTAGGGGGAAGACATCAATTTGATTACTGTTTTCATGATTATTTTAGGGACTTCCTGGGTTACTATAGAGTGCTACAGCATTAGCAGTCAGTTGGAGAAAGTACACCTCATTGAACTGCAGAATATTTAAGAAGGAAGAGGAGAGGGAGGTGGACGGGAGGCTGGAAGACACTAGCATCTGTTCATTACTTGTATTAGAAGCTCCTGATGTGTTTAACAAAGAGAACTTACTTTGCACCAGCCATGAGTGCAGATGGGTTTTGCCTCGTTTGAACTGCGTTGCTGGTTTGTGACTGAGCACAAGCGAAGGGGAAGTGTTGATCTTTTTCTGTCCTGGGTATTCCCTGAACTGTAGCAGCTCCAGTGAGGTGTCACGTCACGCAGCCTCTCTGCAAGTGTTGATCCCAGTCTGATACCAGGCTCCCTGCAAAGAGAGGCAGATCCAGTTTCAGGGGAAGGGTTCTCACACATACTAATTCAGTTACTTAATTATAACCTTTCAAGTGAGGAGCAGAACCCAGGACAGCTGGTCATTAAGATCCCAAAGCCTAGAGTTTTCTTCCCCTCCCTCCAACAAAAATAAGACTATAAAATCCCAGTGGCCAAGCTCCATGCGGAGCAATTGTGTTCTGCTTCCTGAAATACTCTCCTTGCTGGTTTAGGCTACTGTTTCCTTCTCTTCTTAAAAGCTTCCAGATAGCAATTTGGGACAGAACATGTCATTGGTCATACCCTCAAAGTGGCTGTGTTTAGGGCCTGTCTGGATGATCTGTGTACAGGCAGTTTGCAAAGCACCTGATTGATCTTTGAAGCAACTTGCTGTAGAAAAGGGGCTTAAGTCCCAGTTCTGGCATTGATACACTGGCTGGCAGCAGGGGAAAGTTCTGGGAATCTTCTGTCCTTCTACACAGAGCACTTTTCCTGCTTGAACATCCCTATCCTGAGTAGAGTGAATGCCCCTACTTGTGGGTGGGAAGCACTGTGTGCTGCTGGTAGCTCTTTGAGAAAAGTGAGATAATGCACCAGGAAGATACACAGATCAGGATGGAGAAGAAACCGTTTCCCCCAGAGAACGTTCAGGATTGTACTTTGCAGCATCCAAGGTAAACACCAGGAGTGTTTCCAGTGGGAAAACAGTGGCTAGTGGGTCAGCAAAGTGTAGTGTAGACTTGAAACTGAACAATAATTGAAATCGAGGCTAAAGTTAAGATAAAAATATTATATTTGGGTAAAATCCAGTTTTGTTAGGTTGGATACATGGACACTGGAAGTGCTATCTGTAATCTTTTGCAGAAAAATACATTCTCAGATTTGAATTTACCAGTTTGTGACCTTTCTGATGCGCCCTTTCTTAAGGGACCCTTTACCAGTGCAGCAGCAGGAGGGGCTGACCCTGAGCACATCCATTTCCAGTCACTACAGCTCATCCACACTTCTCTGTTCTGTTGTTAGCATGGAGAACTCCTCATGCTGGCATCCGGTACTGGTCTTGCACCGATGCTTCCCATCCTCCAGTCCATAACAGAAGATGAAGAGGATGAAACCTTTGTAACTCTTGTTTGCTGCTTCCCTACCTTTGACAAAATTTATCTGAAACCTCTTCTCCAGGATCTGGCTCGATACTGGAACATCAGAATATTTTATGTCCTAAGCCAGGTAAGTAAATGGATATGAAGCCTGTTTGTGTGAGGGTTTTCTGGGCTGGATGAGCCTCTGCTTCCTCTGCTTTTCCAAGAGCATGATCTTAATTCTTTCCCGGTCATTGAGGCTATTTTGTGATCCAGTAGCTGCTGTTCTTAAATCTGGTACGTGTTCTCACACTGCTGCTAGTATGGAGAGTTTTGGGAAGTGACCATTGGTCACTGCTTGTCCCTCTTTACCTCCTTGCCCTGTTGCTGCTCTGTTGGGATGACTCCACTGATTCATAGTCACTGCTGATTATTTTCCCCCACTTCAGATGGTTGTTGCTGCACCTAAACATTTGTGCAAGGAAAACTTGATTCTGGGATACTCACAGCAAATAAACTATTTCTTCTTTCCCAGTACCAGTGTCTTAATCTGTCCTTATTCTCCATTCACTGCTCATGGCTAGAGCTCTCTTCTAGTATGTTAGCACCGATTTCCCAGCAATTATTTCTCCCAGCAATTATTTCTCCCAGCTGACCCATTCTTAAACTTCTTAAAGTTGTTTCTCCCTCTATAGCATTATTTTTCCCCTGCCAAATCCATGGGAAGAGGGCATACCCTCTCAGTGGTCTTACATTTTGAGCAGTCTTTTTTATTTCCGTTTGGTCCCAAAGTTGCCTGTGTTCTGCATGGATTCGGTGGTTAAAAATTACTTCCCTCGGAGCTGAGGATTCATTGCAAGGAGGGTATAGAAAGAATTATTTATGCTAAGGGAACGAATCCCATTGCATTTTTAGTCTCTCAGATGAATCATTTTTTGTATCTCTGATAGTGTATGTGTCTCATACATTATGTTCCACATATGGGCTCAGCAAGTTGAGATTTGGTGTAGGGAAAAGTACTTGTGACTTAGGCACCCCCTCAGCTGCTCTGAGGAAGGTAATTGTCTCTGGTGACATAGCTTAAATACCCTTTGCAGGACAGGGCTGTTTCAAGAGCATGAAGAGGTCTTGAAATTCAATCAGTGAAGGGCAAGAAACCTGCCTGACCCCTGTCAACACTGTCTGCCCTGTGTGTACATCTCTCCTTTTCTTCTTTTCTCTTAGCAGGTTTGTTATAGTCCAACACTGATTCATGCATCCTCCCTTTTAGGATTGTGCGTCTGTCTGCCTCGGTATTTCACTCTGCTGCCTGTCACTACCACATCTGAGCACCTTCTGCTTCTAGTTAATAGGATTAGGGGAGTCCCTGATGGATCTAACATTTCTCATAGGATCAGGCTTCTTTCGGTTTTGGTCAAGGGAGATGAGACTGAAAGAGACTTGGGAATGGGAGAGCCAATAGAGAGGAATAGACTTGGGATTTAGGACTTGGTTATTAGAAGAGGTGCACTGGCAAGTGGTTCTCAAAGGAGAAGGTTCTACAGCATTTATTAGTGATAGAAATCTGGAGATGGACTTCTTACAAGGGCACATAGTGATAGGACAAGGGGGAAATAAACTAGAAAAGACTGAGATGAGCTCTTAGGCAGAAGCTCTTCCCTGTGAGGGTGCTGAGGCGCTGGCACAGGGTGCCCAGAGAAGCTGTGGCTGTGGACACTGTTCAAGGCGAGCTTGGACAGGGCTTGGAGCAAGCTGCTCTAGTGGAAGGTGTCCCTGCCTGTGGCAGGGGGTTGGAACTGTTGGAGCTTTAGCGTTCCTCCCAAGTCAGACCATTCTGTGATTCTGTGATAGCTACACTCTGATTTTGTGCAGTTCCCTCTGAGTGAGTGGCCAAGTACTGCAGCAAGGATTTGATCTGGGCTTTGGAAGAGGAATGCAGCTCTTAGGAAAAGTGAGTTTTACCCCGAGACTGTCCTGTACAGCGCTCTGAGGGAAGGAGGGAGGTTTGCTGTAAGCAATTACTTGTCCTTATTAACATGACACACTGCAAAACTTTTGTCTCTTCAGGAACCTTCCCTGGAACAACTTCCCTGGAGCTATCAGGAAAACACGTACACCGGTCGTCTTGATGAAGGCTTAATGAAGACTATAATAAATTCCTGCAGAAGAAGGCCATTTGTAATTATCTGCGGCTCTTCTGCATTCAATGAGGATATGAGCAGATATCTTAAAGCTGCAGGAATTGAAGAAGATTCCTGTTTTGTCTTTTAGCAGGATATTCCTGACCTGAGGAACCATAGGCTGAGCCTTGGACGTCGTCATTTCTCTGCAGGCATTGCACAAAATTGGTTGTCTTGATAGACTTAGTTCCCTGTGCATATACTTATAGAGGCCTTTGGATCAAGTTTTTTGTCTCCATTATGATTCTCACTCTTGAGTGTTTTAAGGAGCGAGTGCCATTCCAGAGTGGCTGCTATGTGCTGTGCCACCCACACCTCAGGGAGCAGCATGGTAGTGATAATGGAAGCCTTCATATGCGATTTCAGGAGGGGGATCTCCTAAGGGCACTAAAGGTATCCAAGTACAGAGCTCTGCTGTAACATGAAGATCAGTGAGTTGCTTTGCAATCTATGTTAGTCTGCAGTGGTATTGTACCCTGATAGGTGTTCCAGGGGAGAGGCTTAACCCTCAGGGAGAAGACTGCCTGGCCAAGGACCCTGGAGTCCTTGGGGTTCATTTCAGTTGTGTCGTTACCTTGCTGGGTGATGGCAGGCAAGTCACATCCACCTCTCTGTGCCTCAGTTGCCCTGTTACACTCATACAGAGAAGGAGGCACTGATCTTCTGTGGAAAAAGCCTTTCCAGCCTGTGTTACCTACCCTGGTCCTTAACGCTTGAAATGCTGCTTGGGGAGAGAAAGAGCGTGTCCTAAAACTGAGAGAAAGCATCCAGGATGTAGCTGCTGTCTGCCAGCGAGGACGTTTGTTTGCTTTCTGTGTCCCCCAAGTGTTGTATCGCAGCTCTGGTTCATTAAATTGAACCTCTTTCCAAATAAACAGCTGTTTCTGTTTCTCACAGGGCTCGCTCAGGTGCCCAAGGCAGTGCTATAGGCGTACAAGAGCACAACCTGAGGAGTGAAAGCTTCATGGGGCTCCGCCTGTGTGCTCCCGGTGGGTCAGGGCGCAGAGCCAAGGACTGCACTGGGGATGGCAGCCCTGGCACAGCACCAGCCTGTGTGCCCCAGCCCCTTCTATTTCAGCCCAAGGTGTTGCTACCCTATCTGAGATACCCTCTTTCTGCTCTTTTAGACCCCTGTTTTTACTTACTACAGCTGGAAATACAGCCTTTCTGCACACCTTTGTGTTTTTCTGTTCATTCCCAGTTCATCCTGTGCTGGGGTTGCCCAGGCTGTGACAGATGATGCCGTGTTACCATTCAGGCCTCATTTTCTATCTGTATCAAATAGTACACCTTACACAAAGGAGATGTACTTTAAGAGTTACTCAAAACAAGCAATATGCACTAAAATGGTGGCTCTGATTCTCACGCTGGGAGGAACCATCGGTTCCCCTTGCATCAGTGAGATTTGTCTCCAGTTACCAAATGCTTGGACTTAATCCAGTGTAGCTGCAGCTTTTTTATGTTAACTTCATCAGAGCAAGAGCTGACAGGAAAGCCAAAACAGGGTTCTGCAGAGAAATCCAGGGGAGTTCTCCAGGGTAGATCCAAAGCAAGCTCTTTCTTCCCACCCAAACCCATGCTACAGCTGCTGTAAGCCACTGTGTAGTGGAGGTGCTTCTGCACAGCATGGGGCTGATATAAGGAGTCGCTTTATCTTTATCCTCCCTGCTTTAGCCTTAGCTAGGAACACAGATATGTCCCTTGGATATGATATTCTCTGAAAACCTTCCTTCTTTACCTCTTGCTTTAAATATTCTGCCTTTGTGAGGCTTTGCTAAAAATCCCTTTTGCACAGGCCTGAGGTATAACTTCACGCTCGCTTCGGGAAAGCGACGACTTTGTGTGTGAAAGCTGGGCCTGTTCCTTTAAACACAACCCCAATATGTCTGGGTATTTCAGCACATATGGGCCAGGATGGATAAACCCTCCCCAGCTGGTGTGGCCGTTCTGCCGCGAAGCCTCCTGTCTTTGTTCCTGGCTAAAAGGGAGGGTGGTGAGAGACGGAGCAAGCTGTGAGTGCTGCGGGTTGCAATCCTGCAGAGGCAGGCTGCAGGCAGAGCGGGAGGAGGTGATGCGTGCCGCGCCGGAGGGGACGGGGTCTCTGCGAGACGTTCTCCATGGGGGAGACGATGGCTTTGGAAGTATGACCTCGGAGGGGCCTTTAAACCGCCCCTAGGCACTTTGTTCTTTATTTTCCACCCTGCTCTCCCTTCCCCCTCCTGCCTTTTGTCATTCCCCAGGCTGGAGTCCCCTCTTCCAACTGGGGACAGCCCCTTTTAGAGGCTTGCGTGGTGCTCCCGCAAAGGCAGGGATGTGGAATGGGAAAGCTCAGGGGCAGGATTTTCCCTACAGAGGGAGGATGAGAGGTATGCATCCTTTGGAACCTGGGAACTACCCTGCCGTGGCAGTTTCACAGGGGATGGTGTGATGCTGCCGATTATATGGGATCACTGGAGCTGGAGGTGCGTGAGCTCCCTGCAGTGGTTAGTGGGACACGGGTGCTGGTAGGGTGCTCTGTCTGCCCCCAGGAAGCCCCCATCACCCTGGCAGCCCTGTGCTGGGGAGAGGGCTTTCCCTTTGCTTCCTTTCTTCTACCTCATGTGCAGCCTAAATACCTTCTTCATTTCATCTCATTATTTCCTGCCTAAATAATTCCCGTTTCTCCTGGGGACCGTATTTAAACCTTTGATCTTCTCTGAAGTCTCGCAGTCCTGATCACATCCTTTCTATTTAAATGAATCAAATGCCTTTTTCACTCATGATTTATAAATTTGCCCACAGAGGAGCAGAGGCAGCCCCGATACAACACACCTTGAAATCACCCACTTTGGCTGGGACCAAAGCACCCTGGGCTGATCCAGAGCACCTCTGACCTCCATGCCTCGCTCCTCTGCCTGCATCCCAGCTGCATCCAACCCGAGCAGTGTATCCTGTGCTCAGACCCAGCCAGGGAATGGCCATCCCCAGGTCAGGAGGAGGGGGAATGTGCCTGTGGTTGATGGATGAGGTCTCCCGGGAGTGGGGCACAGCTGCTGTGCTGCATGGCCCCGGTCCCTGTATCCCAGGGGTATCCCTGATGCAGAGCGCAGCTGGAGGGATGGAGAGGAGTGGCCATGTAGGTACCAGTGTCCTGACACTGGCTCAATGTTGGGATGTGGCTTGGTGCTGAGGCTGATGGCGGAAGGGCTGGAGGATGGTGGGTGTTGCTGGAGCTGGATGTGGTGAGGATGAATGTGTTGCTCTGTTGTGCAGTGATGGAGAAGTCAGGGAGCACATTGTGCCTGATCCCAGGGGATCATGTGTGGGAGTGTTGAGCACTTTTGGCTGAGATTGTGAGGGTTGTGGTTATGGAAGCATCCAGGAGAAGCCCCAGCACCACAGGCCATGGTGCCAGACATCTCCTGCCTCTTTGCTGCAGGCTGTGGCCACACACGTGTGTCACAAGGCACGGGGACAGCCCTCCTCTCCAAGCCTGTTAGGGATACAGATAATTAAGCTCTGCAGCATCCCTGGGAGGTCAGCACCAGCATCACAGCCATCTCCCAGAGCCTGCACTGGAGCAGTACCCAGGGACAGGCAGGGCTGCCTTGCATCTCCTGCTCTTCCTCCTGGTGCTGGTGGGGTGATGCAGTGCTCAGCACCCCAGGACAGACACCCTGATGGTCTCCCCCTCAGCTCAGCTCAGGATGGAGAGCTCCTGGCTGGGATGCCCCGATGCCAGCGAGGCCAGGCAGTGAGGAGAGAGCCTGTACAAATGTTATTGTTATTATTGCCCATAAATATCCTGAGGCACTTAACGACCTTGGCATGGAGCATTTCCTGGGGATTCATGACCAGTTGGCGTTAATGGTCCTTAGCAGCACCTCAGGCCGTCAGCTCCTCCCAGCCCATCATTAATCCACAGGAAATGTCTCGGGCATCGATCCTCATTGCTTAATTAATAAATGCAACTTGTCTCCTCGCCTGAGATTTAGAGATAGGCGCTGCTGCTTCCCCTGAAGGTGACTTCTTCAGGTCCCTCAAGCCAGGAGGCCCTCGTGGGTTTTGTTTCCTGGCATTCATCCGGGTGTGGGTTATGGCAGCAGGAAAGTCTTCTCCCTCTTGGGCAGGCAGGAATGAACTGAAGTGCTGCTGGGACTGGGGTTTTCCAGTTAACGTGGCGCATCTCTCCCACCGAACACAAAGGTTTGAGCACCGTCAGCCGGGTGCATCCGAGAGCCTGAGTGCGAGCCGGCCTGGAAGAACCTGGTAATTCTCCAAGGCCATAGCAGGTTCCATAATAATCGATGTTTTTTGCCCGTGAGTCACAATTCATCTCTAACATCCCTCAGGGGAGGTGGGATTTGCTATCTTTAGTGCTCACGACTGCCGCTTTCCCGCGCTGAGCATCCTGCTGAGCCTGGACTCTTGCTGCAGGGATGCTGACCTGGCAGCTGGCGTGGAGTCGTGGCTGCGGTTAAATCCTGTTCCCTGTTTCCCCAGCGTTTACCACCCGTTGGCTTTGTGCAGTGGGTGCCGTAGCATAAATCATGGTAATTCCTGAGGTGCTTTTCTGCGGCAAGTCTGAAATCCCCATTTTGGTCCACTGGCTCGACTGGTGAGCTAAATTATTTTCATAGCCCCTTAAGGGCACATTGTCAGCCCAGACTTATTGCCGTTATACACCATCTCTGAAACATTAATATCTCTTCTAAATATAGTGTATTGACAAGGTATCTGGTATAGTGTAAATCCTTGGGACATTTGATCCAGATCATTAAAACTGAGTGAAGGAAGGGAGGAATAGATCAAGTTGCCTTGCCGCTCTTAATTCAAACAAGCGATGAATTATTCATTCCATTATTAATTCTACAGGCCTCCTGCTTTTTTATTTAGTTAGTTAGTTATTTATTTCCCTCCCAGATAGACAGCTCCAAAAGGATGCTCGGGTGCTGCTGAGGGGAGATATACCTGCTGGAGGATGAGGTGCATGGGGGCAGGCTGCCTGGCAGCATTGGCCGTGCTGTGTGGGGCTCTCGGGGATGCTCCAGGCAGAGGTAAGAGCGCAAATCTCAGCTCCTACTGGGGACACAGGCACTGCATGGGCATCCGTGGTCCCCAGGGAGGAGAGGGCTGATTGTGGGTGCTGCAGTGGCTCTGGGGGCAAGCAGGTCCCAGGGACTGGGACTCGCTTCCCTCAGCTTGGCCTGGGGAAAGGAGCTGGGATCTGCAGCCACCATGTGTGACAGCAAGTGTGGGGCATTGCTCCGTGCTTGTTCTACTGCTTCACACTTGTTTTACTGAAGGTTGCAGGTGGGGGATGTCCTTTTGTGGTGTACAGGTGCTTTGCTGAAGGGTTTCTTTAACTTCTGGGGTTGCACTTGCCTACATAAATACAGAATCCCAGACTGGTTTGGGTTGGAAGGGACCTTAAAGCTCATCCAGTGCCAACCCCCTGCCATGGGCAGGGACACCTTCCACTAGAGCAGCTTGCTCCAAGCCCCTGTGTCCAACCTGGCCTTGAACACTGCCAGGGATGGGGCAGCCACAGCTTCTCTGGCACCCTGTGCCAATGCCTCAGCACCCTCACAGGGAAGAACTTCTGCCTAAGAGCTCATCTCAATATCCTCTCTTTCAGCTTAAAACCATTCTCCCCTGTCCTTTCACTATGTGCCATTGTAACACAGATGTATATATATGTATATGGGCGTGTGTATGTATGTGTATGTTGCTGCGCATGCAATAAACCTCTCACCTTACCTGGATAAACCACCCCTGGGATGCAGGGCAGGGTTATTTCAATAACATCATTCCTTTAGTACCAGCCCCATATGACTTTATTGCCTATCCCCAGTAATCAGCAAGATGGTTTTAGATCTGGCTAGCTTTGCTGCTTGTGGAAACACCCCTT